ACAGCACCAAGTTCAATTGATGCCAACTTGCCTTTCTTTGAGCGGCAAACGGCTGCAAAATGCCACTTCTTGTGGCACAGGTTGCATGAAGCCTTGCTCGCGGGACATTCCGTGCGCGGATGAGGAGACCGTCCACAGTAGACGCAGAGAGAGGGACTTGACCCGCATCGATGTTCAGCGCAGTGGTCCCCGATGATACCGCTGACTCTCGGAGTTTTCGTTCTGTTTCAGAATCTTCATGCTGACGCACCAGAACTAGAGCTTCCTCGACCGTCAACCTTGAGTGTCGGCAGAGTCGGTCTGATAACTTAGTATCGAGCAGCCCGACAACAAAGCGGTCCCTTATCAGACGGTCCTCGACTTCCGGTGGGCGGTAGTTACAACGCTTCGCCATGTTGCAAAGTGCCGTGTAAAAAGCATCCGCTGACTCACCGGACTGCTGCGTAGGTCTGTGGAAACGCGCGCTTTCGTACAGTTCGTTCACAGGGTGCACGAAGTAGCTGTCGCACTTTTCCTTGACCTTGGCGTAGTCTCCGAGCTCGTCCTCGCCAAGCCCGAGTGACGTCAAGACGATGCGGGCTTGAGATCCCGTGCAGTACAGCAACGTCCGAGTGCGCACTTCATCCTTTGCCGTGTAGAGCCCCGAAGCAAAAGAATAGTCTTCGAACCGCGGGATCCACTGCGGCCATTGACCTACATTCTTGAAATCGAACGGCTGCGGCGGCTGTACGACGAAGCTGCTGGCTGCGGTCATTGTAGGTTTCTGCTCCTCACTGGCCATTCCGTAGTGCAACCGTCGGCGTCGAAAGGATCGAGACTGCCGCAGTCGGCTGGAAGGCGCAAGATGGAGCGGGCCGCCACTTCTGACACCATGTAGTGGAACACGACACGCAGGGTCCGAGAGCCGGTGACGAAGAAGAAGCAGCTCGCTCCCGGCGGCTTTATTTATAACCAACTTAACAAACACGTGGCGCCCTCAAGGTTAGTGGCGCTACTGTACGCATGGTACGGGCTGCTGCCTTTCCGCGGTGCCGCGGCTCTCCAGAGCCAAATAAATAAAGACTAAAACTTAGGACTAAAGAAAAAATGCTTTGCTGACCAACAGCCGGTAGCGCCTTAAAAGAGAGAACAATAGTGTTTCCTCGTCTAGTGGATACAAATTACAAAACTACACCATAAAAGTGGCGCACATCACTGAAATGACATACGCAGTACAGAAAATAACAGATTCTCTTGAACGTAAAACGGCAAAATACACATAATTGGGAAGATTTTTTTGTTTCTAAAAGCCAAATTCAGAAACCTAAACTAAACTAATGTTTGCTAAAACTTGGGGCATATCGTGTGCATCGTATCAAAAAAGTGTCAAACGAAAACACCACGCATCAGATTTGACGTTGTTTCACACCTCGAGACACTGGCTGGCTCTGGCGCACCTACCGCCGGCGTAACATAGCGCGTAGTCGTGAAATGTCTGCGACTGATGATGATGATAGCTTATTTAACAAAAAAAAAAAAGAAGACTCGGCGCGGACCTCCTTTTCGGCGCTGTAGGCGTTCTGTCTAATGCAAATGAGCGGAGTGGAATGCAATCCCCCGGGTAAAGTATTTGGCCAGACGCAAATGGTGAATAGGGTGGGAGGCCGGCGAGATGCACAGGAGAGGAGGTTCAGATAGCGGTCGCGCGCTTTCAATTCTCCGTTTATCTTGCTCTAGGGTGCCTACATGTCTGTATGTCTGAGGGTGAAGACATCCATTGTTGCCCTGAATGTGCCAGTGCGTGACGCTCTGGCGCACTCGGTGCGTGGCTCGGGCGGTAAAATGGCGTCTATGCATTAACCAAAGCTACGCGCCCGAGCTGAGTGACACCAGATTGCGCGCGCTTCAAAAAGCACAAAAAAAAACGACTGGGCGGAAAAATGGCTGAGATGTCACCACTCAAGCAAGTAAGTTACTCAAGAATTAAGTTACGGCCGCATTTTCGGTCTGTTGGGCGATAACCACGGAAATAGGTGTTGGCATGGAGATTTTGAGAAACATCGTATTATACATAATAATGTGTAATAATAATAATAATAATAATAATAATAATAATAATAATAATAATAATAATAATGCGATATGATCCTTTCGACCGAATAGTAGGACATCGGTTGAAGGTGGTAGAGCTGCAAAGCTTAGGAACGGGCAATAAAAACAATAGACCGATCTCACCAAGCGATCGGCGCATGCGTGACGCCGCCATAACTTTTGTTCACAAAACTCAAAAGGCAGTGCTCGAGAGGGCTCGCGCGGTAGCATGCTCCGCACGCGCAGAGCTCGAGCAAGGTTGTCGCACGTGGAGAAAGACTAAAGTTCCTTCGATGCATTACAGCAGCAGCGGCGTAGTTAAACTGACTGGAGAGATCGGTCCATTGTCTTTCGCACGTCGTCTATGTACGTGGCAATTTGACTCCAATACTTCTACCACACCGAAGGGCACCGCACAATATATATTGGTTCGCTCCACTTTCATGCACGGTTTACGCATGGTGATTGGATGAAGTTACCTAAGCGGTACAATCACACTGGTGAAAATCTGCCAAGGTTGCTCTAAAGCCCATTCATGTTTTAAAAGTAGCGCAAGGGGCATCGATGCACGAGGCACGTGCAACGTGCAGCCCTTGGGAAGATCATGGCGGCATAGCGCAGTACTGAGCTTGATTTCAGACGCCATTGTCTTCCCAGAAGTGGCGCTGCGGCACGTGCTTCGAACATTTCCACAACGATGAATGGCGCCACTTCTCCCAGGATAGAGGAGCTTTAGGTTGCTCTAGAGGTCCTGTATACGCTCTCTACGGGAGCCAGAGTTGCGCGATCACGTGAGGAGCCGGATAAAGTGCCGTGCAGGAAAGTAGAGGTTGCACGCGCCCCGGCATACGTTCCCCTGCTTTTGAGCGCGCCGTGCGCCTTGAACGCGCGGCGCCGCTATCCGCCGAATTCAGTCACGTGACGAGCGGGATCAACATGCCGTGCAGGAAAGACGGTGCTACGGAGATGAACACGCAACTCTGGCTCCCGTAGGGGAGCCTATACAAGAACTCTAGGTTGCTCAAGGTTGATACGCCACGTGTGGTGAGAATCGGGAACTAAAACAGCGTGTCTCAGAAAGCTGGCCATGCTAGCAACAGGATTTAGTTGCTCGAAAGAATGTTCACGTTTGCTCGTGCCACGCCACTTCATATTGAAAAACTCGGAAAATTGCGGAATGTCAAAAACGTATTTAAGATAGCGAGTACAAGATACTCACGAGTGTAAATAAAATACAATATCGAATACTTTCGACCAAACGTATTTGCAATATACCAAGCTACTTCAAAAAGTGTTTGAAATACAGTATCTTGAGTAGAGTATTTGAGATAGGTACAAGTTTGATTTGCACGCATGAAAGAGGGGCGAAGAAAGAGCGAGAGAAAACTCGCCGAAGACATTCAAGCCTGCTTGCGTGTAGGAATGCTAAATTATTCCTACACGCAGCGCATTCTTACAAGCAGCGCGCCCCGTATTTCTTTCACACATGGCGCTCCAGCGGTGACTTCACTTCCCCCACTGCGCATGTGCGACGAACCTCGCCGGCTTCACGACTGCTTGCATGACAAAGCATCTGCGTTGTTGTGCTTTTCTTTGTGTTTTAGTGCGGTCAAAGGTCAAAGCGTGTTCGCTTTGACCTTGAGAGCCCCCACCGGCAACCGTGACGAAGCATTTGCCTGGCTGTGCTTTTTTTTCTACAGGTGCGGATTATACAAGGATACTTTGTTTTCAAGGTCGATCAATACTAACGAGATGTGACGAATTCTGTGAATCATAGATTAAGTTAATGCCTTCTGTTTGATACAAGATTACTCGCGCGTTCATAAGGCAGTGATTTTTCAAGGCGAGCGAAATAGAAGGATAGTTTTGAGTGCCCCAAGTACAAACTATGCAAAAAAAATTGGGTTGTGTATGTTTATGCTGCCTAGAACTGTGTCTACCTCAACGGGCGATGGGCCTCCTGGCTGTAGATGAGAAATTTAGCCAGTGCAGTACAACCGCTAGCCTGAGGTCTTTAACGTGCACCACGCAGTAGTGATGCACGACAGCACGCCGGCACCAGTGGCCGGCACAATACTCATCCAGATTGAAACGGGCAGACGTGGGGATTGAACCCAGGATCGCTGGGTTCTGCAGCGCGAGCTTTCGCTCCAAGTGCTCCGAGCTGGAGTGCGCTAGCCAACTCGGGCACCGATCCTCCTACAAACTATGCTAAACTTCGGTCGCTGCATTTTTATTATTTTCTTTATTTAATCGAAATACGCTCGTGGGCCTAATACGCCAGGTGCGCACTACGGTCCGAAAAATACTGCAATTGCGGTGTTGGTTGATGTGAAGCTTTCCTCTTTTACCGAAATACACTCCCTTTACAGCGCAGAAATGATTTTTTGTATGATATAAATATAAGACATATATATATATATATATATATATATATATATATATATATATATATATATATATATATAACGGGCATGGTGGCGGGAGGCCGAAGGCGTGGGTATAAAACTGAAAAGAAAAAAACCCTTAGTGAAAAACAGCAACAACGGACGATTAAATCGTCCGTTGTTGCTGTTTTTCACTAAGGGTCTTTTTCTTCTCAGTTTTATATATATATATATATATATATATATATATATATATATATATATATATATATATATATAAGTAACATTTTTATAACGCATAGTTTGATAAAGAGAACTGGAGACTTTAAGTTCAGACAAAATGCTGCACAGCCGAACAAGATATTTGTAGGGCTAATACGTGATCCAACTCCTGAATGAATTTTCCGTTATATTCAAAGTATGTCCTATTTTCGATATCGAATTTGCATCGTCTTCATGAATTGACTTGCAGAGAGCCGAAGGTGAAGAACTACGCTCACCTTATTGAAAACCAAGAACCCCTGGTGGTAGGGATGAACATACCTGTGGTGCCGTTGGTTAAGTGGTCAGCCAACCACTGCATTACAGCGTAATTTCGCAAGATGAACACATGATCCGTATCCGTCGCAAGTTGTTTGAGCGCACTGTGATCAGGGCTACCGGTGAGTCCAATGCAGTAAATATCTGCATAGTGACGTTTCCGAAGATTCTCGACATCTTTGGCAGGACTGCCACCCAAGTTTGCCTTGCCTGCGAATATAAGTAGAATATCATTACAAACTGAGCAACGGTTGTTAAAGGTGTTCCACCGTTGATTTGTGTCAAAAGCTACACTACAAAGCCCCAGCGGTGCCTATTTATGTCCAAGGAGCTCTGTAGCGAATCCAAAAACAAAGAAATCGGATCACACAACTCATTCTACAAACCATTTATTTTGCATTACCTAATACTGCTTGCTCATGATCTCTTAAATGCAGATATCTGCTCCCATCACAGATTTAGCTTCCCTGTGATATTGGAACTTCATCTGGAACTAATACAATTATTGCTGGAAACGTTCTAGAAAGGCTCTAGGCGCGAAAGCCTATTCCAACGACAGAATTAGTTAGTTCTATTTGCGTCTTCTACCTCAATAAGCTAAAGTGGTCTTGTAAAAGCTACTCACCGTCAGTGATAAAAAAGATGCTGAACTTGAGTTTAAATCCGTCCTTTTTCAAATGACGGTCCACGATCTCCAAGCTAGTCGTTATGGCCTTGACGGCCTCTCTGATCGCCGTACCGCCGGCTGTTAAAAAGAAAACACATGTTTAAGCACATATCCATTCAATTATCAATGGTTACAATTGTGCAGAAGCTTGTTAAGTTGAAGGCGAGTTTGGTTATCGATTATATAAAACAACCGAGCAGAGGACAACAGATTCGCCCTTGTTTTTTTTCTCTTCGTGTGCCTCCTCTGGTGTTGTTGTTGTTTGCACCGCAGCTGCCCATGGCTAAAATTGTAAAATATTATCGTACTTCGATTGGGTAATTACTATAGGTGAATAGTTTCGAAAATAAGACGGACCTTAAACAGCTCTCGTTTTTACCACTAAAATTAATGCTATTTTTATCGGGTGCGCAGTTGAAATATTTTGTATTGATTGCTCCTTCACCACAACGTCAACGAGATGTGTAGCTCCTGACCTTCAAAAGCATGGCACCTGTGACTCCCGTTCTCACGAACTTCCCCACAGCCGCTGACAGCTCAAGAAGTGCAGTGTGTGGCGAATCAAGGTAGCCTCATTGTTGCTACGCAGCTTGTCCAATGAGATGGCTACATTCGCCCATAAGAACGCTAAAAATGCAATCACGAAGCAATGAGCTTAACATGATAAGCAGCACCCTGCGTTACTTAAGTTATCAGTCACTATAGCGGGCGTTATCTAAGAGACCGTACTGGGTCTCTGAGTAAATGACATACACTCGTCCGCGTTGCACGTAACTACTACAATAAAATACAAAAATACACTAAGGACGTTGTCGTTGATTAACCTGATTCCAAGCTGTTATGTGAAGAAGCAACTTTTTTCTTCAGAAATTCCTATATGTGAACGAGCCTCGCGAAAAAGACTTAAATGAGAGGACTTGGACAGTAGTTACTGAAATCTGACGATATTTTTTTACTTACGAAGAGGCCTTACATTTTGGCAATTTCAGTTGGCTGGGAAAACTTCGCCACCCAAGAGTCCAGCTAAATATTTTCTCTAACATAGCTGCAATACTCTATGGTGTAAACGTTGATCATTATGCAGGACGTCGTCGGTCACTAAATTCAGTGGCTGATTCAGTTTCTAAACTTTTTAAAATGGCAACGGTAGCAGCTTCACTTCAATTGAGTTATAAAAATCGTACCAAATCCCGCGTCGTTATAGCTAATGCACGAGAACCTGACGTACTTATTTTTGTTTTCACTTCTCTCGTTTTTAATACGTTAGCAATAGAACGCTCGTCTTCACGAGAACCCGCCGGTGTCGGTCCGTGCGTCCGTTTGTCAGCGCCTTGCCTGACGTCGAGAGGTGAGCGGGGTGGTGAGGAGGTATCGTGTTTACAGATTCAATGTCTTACTACGGCGGCAGCGACAGAGAAAGAGGGTGACGCGTGCTGACGTCAACGTTTCGGACCAATACGAGCGTCGCACGGCTGGCGCGGAGCCAGAGAAGAGCAGACGCCGCACCACTTCGGAATGCGGCCCAGCTGAGTTTCCACTGAGGCGATGAACGCGGTCCGTTCCACGAGTGACCGAATCGAAGAGCGACGACGGGAGAAAGCACAGGCTACGCGTCGGCGGTGTAAGGCCGAGATCGAAGAGCGTAAGCATCGCTTGGCTGCTGTCGCGGAGGCAAGGCGACGGAAGCGTGAAGCGGAAAGCGAAGAGGAAAGACATTAACAAACGGCAGGAAAGCGGTGATAATAGAATGTCAAGGTGTCCTAAACGAATGGAAAGGGGTACAAAAAGGGGTGAGAAAGAACCAATGCTAACGCATGTCCATCAAATGAATCCCATTGATCGTCGAACAGTTTTTTTTTTTCTTCTCAAACTAGCTCCCTCCGTAGTGCACATGTTTTAGCTCTACAACGCTTGAACCCCGTCTTTGACAGCGATCCCTTTTATGGGCTCTTTCCACCACCGAAAATGACATCCGTTGGTAATGTTGTAGTTATTGATGTTGCAACTGTAGTTATTGTTGATGTTGTCGTCGGCGTAGTGGGGCGCAGGGTGTCCGTCGTCGATGTTGCCAACTCCTTGGAAAAGATGGCCCGTCACAAGCGGGAATCGAATCTGGGTTCCCTGCACGACATGGCCGCCCGCTTTATACTTATGGCTTTTGTAGTAGCCGATGGCCACTGCCCGCGCTCTCTGAAAAAATACGAAGAACTAGCAGCCAACCAAATGCCGTCGTAGCACTGTTATTGCCAAGAGCTCGAACCGTGCGACGGCTCGCACGCGCTCCGGAACAAAAAAGAAACAAAAGCGTTCTGGAGCAAAATGGTCAGTTGCCTATTTTGTTTCAAACGATTTCGTTCACGGACCCCACGGTGTGTGAACGCGACGTGGATGCACAAAGACTTCGTCGTGACGTGTCGCAGCTATCGCTGCGACTATACTGCGAATTCACACAGCACTGCTCCAGTTTTTGTTTTGCAAACTTGGGCAGCGCAGTAGTCAATTTCTAAAAAGAACAGCACTTGAGCCATTGAATCCAGCTTCTCTTTCAAAATCACAATAAGCGGAAATTGGGATCCTCAATTGCGCTGTGGAACTGAGAATGACGTTCTACCCTGCTCACTGAAACAACACCTGCTGTTTTCTGTTGTTGTTTTTTCACGAACATTTTTAGGTTTGCTTAGTTTGCTGCGTAGATGGCCGCAATGGGCTCTCCCAACTGCTTTGCGGGAGAGTAGTCGCTACAGATTTTAAGAGTGTACGTATACAAAACGTGTTGAGTAATCTTTCAGAGTCTATACGTCGATACGGTACTAGAACCCGGCTCATAATCTTCAATTACAGATAGTTGACGTAGAACTACGTCTTTGTCCGCGCTTGTAACGAGGTGAAAACTGGGAGTTCAATGTGACGAAAACTGGGTCGCGGAAGTCACGTCACACCGATAACGCCGCCGCGCAGTGCACACGCGCGTCCTTTCTCGACTGCTGGCACGCTCGTTAGCTCGCTTCAACGTGACGCGCTCCTATCTCTGATTGAAACGGCGATAGACGCCACTCCGGCAGCCGCGATTCCACAAGCTTCGCTCATCGCTGTGGACAGCGGCCGAACTCGCGTGCTCTGCGGTACAAGCAGTTCAGGCGACTCTCGCGCGCGCGACTCGGCAAAGCGTTAACCCCCCTCTCATTTCTTGTGCCACCTAAAGGGACTGGATGCTTGGAAAGTAGCGCTCCTCGTATGGTCGCCATTTTGGCTGATGAAGTGAGCGATTTCTCCTTGACCTCCTAACTTCTTGGCGAGCCAATCTAAATGCGCTGTTGATGAGTAGCTTTATATTAAAAGTTAAATTGCCCTACAAATGAACATCACCAGTGTCCGCGTGCGAACAAGTTTTTTAGCACCTTATGAAACACAAAATTGCCCCTCAATTTCGGTGATTATTTTATTTTTTACTTTGAAATACGTTTAATTTGTTTTAGCTTGTCTGCGCTTGTCGCCGTCGTATGTTGTTGATTTTTTGTCTTAAACTTCAACTTCTCGTGCTACCCGCGCGTACGATTTATACGGGGATTATTTTTCTAAACAATCCGTCGTGCACGTACCTGTCTTCTCCGTTGCCACGGCGTCCAATGCGAGCAGAGCAGCGTCCGTAGATTTGACATTCATTGGGCTGAGCATGAGCTTCGCCGTGTTGTTGAACCGAACGGCGCCCACGCGGTGTCCATCATCAGTGACGTTAATCTAAATAGAAAGGCGTTCCAAAGTAAGTTGCAATGTACGACCGATAAATACTTTTATCATGCAAGATGAAATAGATTATTTCCCATAGTTACACCATAACTATTAACCGTGTACCGAATTTGATTTTTCTAGCGTCAGATATGCTGCTGCACTTGTGTTGTTGTCGTTGTAGTTGTCGTCGTCGTTGTTGTTGTTTTTGTTGTCGTTGTTGTCGACGCTGTTGTTGTTGTCGTTGTTGTCGACGTTGTTGTCGCCGTCGTTGTCGTTGTTGTTGTCGTTGTTGTTGTTGTTGTTTTGCGAGTGTGCGTTGTTTTATTTACAGTCTGCAGTCAAAATAAATATGTTGTGCGTGGACAACTTAAAGCTAATATTTTTATTCCGTTTATTTTTACAATTTTTTTATTATTATTTTTGTTGCCAACATCAATCAAACAGGTAATAATCAATGGAGCTAAAGCGGGAAACGTCCCGGAAGACACTAATTTTTTTGTGTCTATTTATTCTTACCCTCGAACATTCAATGGAACGACACTTCGTTTCACTGTGTAGGCCAAAACTGAGGAAGAGAAGGAAATTAGAGCGGACGTCAAAACACCTGGCTCTGGTTAGAGCGGTTGGGGAGTAGACGCAAAGCTAGCTGTCTTTGTCTGTACTCACCGTTTAAACGCGTTTGAACGCGAACACCCAATGCCGGACGAAAGACGTTCGGCGTTCAAACGCGTTCGAGGATTGAGTAGAGACAGAGGCTTTGCGTCTACCAACTTGTCATCGCAAGCAGCTCGGTGTTCTGACGTCCCTCTCGTCTCCTCCTCTCCCTCAGTTTTTTCCCGGCAGGAGAGTAGCCATCGCTATGAGCTAAAGGGACCAATCAAGCAGCTCCGAACATACTGCCCCGGGGCAGTGAATAGGAGGCACCTCGGTCGACCGCTGGTCCTCGCGGCTGGTGGTCAGAAGGTTCAACTTTGGGAAGGCCTAGCAAGCAAGAATTTAAACGCGAGCACTACGTCACAATTCGGAAAAGAGCTCGGTCATTCTAGATCGAGATTGGATCCAAGTATTGCGGTCTCGGGCCATCTCGGAGTTGCAAAAATTCCCCGTAAGGTGGCGCCATCTGTTAAACCAAACTTCGTTTCTCGCTGGGTATTTGTCGCCTTTGTCGCAGAAAGTGCGCCCTGACCTTCCACCTTTTGTTTGTGTGTGTTGTGTGTTCATAAAAGTAAAATTATCAAATGAAAGCCATTGCACGCGCACGAGACAGCGCAGTGCCCTCTCGTGGTTTGCTTACGCAGAACCGCAGCGGAGATGTCGCTCATGCTAAAAAACAACGATGCCCACGATGAATGGCGACAGTGGTGGCGTAAAAAAACTGACTGGTGATATCGGTCTATTCGTACAATACACGATGTACACAAACGAAAACCGACTTAAGTTGTGGCAGTGATGAAATTAACTGTGTTATTTAAATACACCAGTCGCACTGGCCGTACAACTTTTGAAAAGAAAGAAACATAGCTGTTGAGAACAAAGTGTGTCCAGGTGAATTTCATTGTCCATGCAGACGTTGAGCGACCTAAGAACTCTACTCGGGAACAACTTTTCTTGGCAATGACTCCAAAGGTACGGACACGTGTTCCCTCTTCCCTTTGTGAGCCCTGAATATAGCTGTGCGCGCTCTCCTCAGAAATGCCAACAAAACTGGTCTCCGAGTTTAGTGTATGCTATTTCCTATTTCCTGTGCCTACAAATTGCTACCCATAATTCGGTCTTTGTTTAAGAGAATTTCAATATTCTGTGAGGAGGCTCGGGTAAGTGAGATTATTTCGGTCTATGCAGCAGTTTCGTCAAATTTAGTTTCGCTTCTGTTATACATTGTAACATGGTCAATATTCACATACATCGTGGATTTTTATATTTGGGAAGTATGAAACGCGGTCTCGGTGTGAGAATTATAGGGTGCATTGTAGACAGCACTCAACTTTTGAGGTAGGGAAGTATTGTTACGATTGGATGCCTCGGCTATAACCCAAACGAGGCTGCAATGTTTTTGTGGCAGGGAAATGAACCATGGGTCCCCAAACCCCAGCCCGTGGAAGTCTTCCGATCGGCCCGAGTCCAGTTTCTAGCAGACCTGATGCTAGCGGCGCAAAAAGAAGTGCACGTTAAGAGACGGCGCCTCGACGCGCTTCAAATGCGCTAACTAAGAAACAAGAAAGAACGGTAGGAACTGCGTCGTAACCAGGGTCCACTCGCCATATTATTAATTGAGCTTTGTCATCTCTAGCATTACCCTTCTTGGTCCCCTGCTCCCTGTCTCTTTAACTATGTTAAAGTTCTATCGCGTGCTCGTGTACATGGCTCTTACCGCTCATTCACACCGGAAGCGGATCCGCGTTCGCAAAGCGGTTGCCAACGCGGTTGTATAAACTCGTGCAATTGTACTGTATCTTTATACAGCCGCGTTCGCAACCGCCTTGCGAACGCGGATCCGCTACCAGTGTGAATGAGCGGTTAGTGTCCTCTGTCACAACTATTGCATATTGTCAGTATTAGTCCTTGCTCATGTGCCAAAGTTTCCATGCGCTTTGATTCATGCCTGGTTAGCTTTCTTGGTCACAAATGTTCTGTAATGTCATAATTAGCCAAAAATTAAATTTCGATTTGCGGTATACATGTATTAATCCAACTTAGGGTTTCTTAATACTCTAACATTCATTTCGGGGTTTAAATGCTATCTAGGCTTATTAGCTTAAAATCTCTTCCTTATAATTACTATTAACGCGATAGCGTTTAGGTTTTTATGCCGCAGAATATCCGGTGTCGGCGTTGGCGTCGGCGGGACCGGAAAATCCCGGCATGCACCTGCTGGCGTCACTCGTGACGTCACGTGTGACGTAACGAGAGTAAAATGTATCCGCTATATTAGGCGGGAAAATGTTCCGCTAAATTTAGAGGGAAACGTTTCCGCTAAATTTAGCGGGTCGATAGGGTCATGGCGTCACAGCCACGCGTAACGTCACATGGAATATAACACGTGCCATCACACGTGTGACGTCACGTGACACGTGACGCTATGGACTAGTCCCGGCACACACGCTTGCACGCCCAGGAACGAGCGCGGGTTTACATGAAAAGGCTTTACGGACGGCGCTCGATAACCCTATCGCATTCCACTCTTAATGAGGAAACTTAAACATCCCCCAAGTGTTTTCTTTTTTTTTTTCTTCGGCCCTTGAGGTTGTGACAGATCTCTAATCGGGCTCTTTAGCCAAAAAGTTTGGAGGACCCTGTAATAAAGCAATGTAATTCTATATTGTTCACGTCAACCGTCACTGATTGGTAGTGGAAGTCTCGCACTAATTTACGATTATCTAAAACAAATACAACAGGTTACTTTGTCCCATGCCCCGCCTCTCCCTCTTATTTATTCATTCGTTTCGAGTAATAGACTGCGATACACTGTGATTTCAGTGTATCAGTGATAGACTGAAATTAATACACTTACACAGATACACAGTGTAAGTGTACCTGTCACGATTATCGCGGTCTATTCTTGGGGATTTTCTCGAAGATCAGTGAAATGCTCATTGGTAAAGCTTCAGATACCGATCAAGGCAACACTTCGGCAGATTAATGCTCACGCAAAATTTGCAAAGATAAATTTGTATAACAGAGTTTTTCAGAGTATGTTAGTTTAGTTTTTGTGGCAACACGTCTTGATATGTTGGAAGCGAAGGTTCAGATCGTATATAAAGACTTCTCGAAGTGCTTTTAGAGTTGTATCTGATGTGAAAATCGCATCGAATCCCATCGTGGGTCAGATATTCCTTGCCGATCGTTGCTGCAAAGACTGCGTTCAGGTTGAGCAGAAAGTTTTGATCACTGTTGTCATTGCTGCTGCCATCAGCGTCGAAGACTCCGACGGAGCGAGAGACTGTCACGAAACCGCATGCTCGCAACGCGGAAGGTAAGAGAGGAAGTTGAAGCGCGAGATGCCGAGAGCCACGTCTGCAAGTGAGTGCGAGGAGACGCGACGCAGCAAGATGCCGTAGGCGAAGCACGTCACAGACCCACCAATCATGGCGGCCTTCCCGAACGGGGTGGATCCGAGAGTCCCGCATATAAATCGATTTATCCACGAAACGGTAGCGTCATTTACAAAACAAATTTTAGCACAAAGATACGAACATATAATAGTCCCTAGCCGTATAGTTATCTCATGTTTTAATTTTGGATTGTCTTAGCCTCTCTCAAAGTTATGACGGATAGAAACACGAAAGTTATGGCGTTACGTGAGCCGACTCATCGAATTTCATTTGATTGCAAATGGTTCTGCGATCGCCTGTTTTTACCCTGTCGTCAATAAAAATAAAGCAGTGTTTTTGTGGTATCACCAAAGTAATTGCCAGTTCCAGTTCAGCGAAAGTTCAGAAACTAATATGGACGGGGTCCATAATCATTTCATGCGTCATACGACGAGTTGACTTCAGAGGGCCCCTTTGAAAAGCGATTAGCACGGCGTTGACAGTTCCTTCGTTTACACTAGGTATTCGAGCTCCATGCATGTCCCCAAAACTACCCGTCTCTATAAACCTTGCATACTACACTTCAATTCTCTGAATATCTGGCGCTTTCTGCCTATACCCCTGTGTTAACTATCATTCAGCTTTAACGGGCGATTTACTTTCGCTGTACAACAAAACACGCTGGGCTTTCTTCTTCAATCACACCTTGTTCAAACAGGTGATCATAGCGCCGCCTGCAACAAAACATTAAAAAAAACGCGATCAGTCGGCATACGAAAACAGTACAACTACCGTGTTTCTACGAATCACATATATTTTTTAGAAAGACATTTAGTTTACCCTGTATTTCGTCCAGTGGAATTTACACCGAACATCTATTATTCATCTTGCTCATCTCTATACTCTGCTGCAGGGCAAAGAAAGAACTGCGAGCTCCTCCCGCACAGCCCTGCACTCTTTCCACTTTAGCAGAGCGAACGCTGGAGAGGAGGTGATGGGACCCTCCTCCTTTCCCGTCTCCTCTCCAGCGTTCGCTCTGAAGTGGAAAGAGTGCAGGGCTTTTCGGAACGAGCTTGTTCCGGGGATTCTTACCCGGCAGCAGAGTATAGCCTTTCGAGTTGGCTTTGTTCGTTGCACTACCTTTCTGGTGATCGCCTTTGCCAGTCCAATTCCAGTCTTGAGGTTGTTGAGCCCAATGCTCGCAGAGGCGTCAAATGCGAAGTACACGATGTGACGAACACCTCGCTCGTTCACGTTGATCGATCTCTCCAGCTGTTCGTCGTTCTTGTTCAACTTGGCGGATTCCTCGGCAAGGCGCGTCAGCTGGTTCCTCAAGCTTTCCTCAACGCTCCGAGGCTTGTCGAAGTAGAACCTGCCTGGAATAAAGAAATAATGTGTCCGTTAGTTCCAGCCTGATTCCTTGTCTCAAATACGGTCAGCCTGCAAGTAATCATTCTTCTTATAACTTGAATTAATATTCGGGCGCATAATCAGGATTGCGGGACGTTATGCGTTCTCTAGTTTCTACGTGGAATAAAAACAAAATATTTATGTACACAATCAAACTCGAATTCAAATGCGTGCAATGAGTCCGACATTGTTGCAATGCTCGGGAATGTTACAGTTATTCATTACTCTGAACAAAATATTTAAGACATTGCAAAAGAAATCCATGGAACGCAAGTCGAAAACGTATGTCGACACTAGGTATAAAAAACGTGTACTATATACATTCATAAGATTCTATTCGCCTGGCCCGGGTTCTATACCCGGACCAGGCGGAGTTTTTCGGTCGCGCACCAGTCACTATAGCTGTGTTTGGAGATTTGTGTTTTTCCTTTGTTTCCCTTGCTCCACTCCTCAAGGGATTATTTTAGTCATTCTTGTCCAGCTCGCTTGCACCTTTGCATTTATTTGCATTATAATCCTAACCTTAAAACCTTAAAATGCAAGCCTTTCACCCTTGTTGGTGTAGACTAGTGGCAGCTGATAAAACCTGTTTGCTCTACTGACGTCTAACCCATGGTTAGTTCAGTTGGTAGAGAGCTCTACTGGAAATGTATATTTAGGTCTCGGGTTCGATACCCGGACCAGGCGAATTTTTTCGGTCGCGCACCGTTATTTAGCTGTGTTTGGAGATTTCTGTTTGTCCTTCAGGGATCATTTTCGAGATTTTATGTAGTATTTCTAGATGTCGTAATATTGCCGTCCTTAATTTTTTCTTGAGAATAAAACAACTACGGCAGATATTCGGCTGAAATCACTGTTAACACAAAATATGTTATATAGCTGGCACCAGCCGCGTTTTCTTGTTCTTGGACGGAACCAGCAAACGGGAGTGCCACCCGAACGCTGACGGAGCGCTCGTCTTCTCAGCGATTGGACGCGAGTGCCAGACGAGCGTCATGCTGAGTAGGTACTTAATATTCCTGCAGGTTCCGTCACGTGACAAGACACCAGACTCCGGCTACTCCGGCGATGCGTGTTACTCCTACGAGGGCTAAGCGAGCGAGCTTTCCAGGCTTTCAGCATTCCTTCCAAACGCGCGCGCTTGTTCTTTCACTTTTTTTTTTAAACGCAATAGCGTTAAGGCTCTTGTGTCGCAGAAAAGCCGGTGTCAGTGACGTGCTGTGAAAATCCGGATTGGTCGATACGGTCATGACGCCACAGCCACATGACTTCGCGCGGGAATTTCAAACAACCCACAAACTTTCACGTGAAACGTGAGGTGCCGCGTGGAACGAAAGTGGTTAAAAAACATGACACGTAATGCGAATTAAAGGTCGCCACATGGCTGAAATAATTTGACTTTATAAAGTTATTCATTTGACTTACAGGAGCGATGGAACAATTTTTTGTATTGTGCGCAAATACCTCATTGAACGGAACCCAGACATTGATGACCTATCAAGCACTCGTTTGTTTTTCACCACAAGCAGAAACAGTCGAACAAAAAAAAATTAAAGAAAAACGAGCAGCGTTCACCCCCTCAACTCGCAGCCATAACAAACGGCCACATGATCTGCAGCCAAATATATGCCGCCAAAGTTAATCATAACCACGCGCTGAGGTCGGAAAAGAGCATGTCACGCGCTGAGCTCCAGACATTGTTATGGTTCGGCCATTGTTGTCATTGCAGCGATTGTACACGGACCGCTACCCGAACGTTTCTCGAGCTGTTGATTATCACGAGCATATATCTAGTGCTCACGCAATGCTCGGATTAAATCTATGAGCCGCGTTTATATGTCGCCACTAAAGGATGCTGAGATCCCCCAGTTACGTCATGAAATTCTGGGAAGGAGAGATTCATAGAAAACGCTCGCTTTTGTCCTTGAAATTACACCGCAAAAAAAAAAAGGAATTTCTTGGCCATTGGTGTTGTGTGTCAGTATCCTTGAGTCGCAGTACTGCCAGTGAGCTCGTATAAAGTGAAAAAAACATTCCAACTGAATATCGTTTCACGGCCCCTTCAGAGAAATATTTGAAGAATTTTAGGAGGGATTCGAACCCATGACCCTTCGGTTGCGAGACAAGCACGCAACTCACTAGGCCACGCAAGGCACTTTCTCTTTATAGTGTAAAAACACACAAAACACGTCGAACACAAGAAAACAAAGGTTAAAACGCCAAGGGCTCAAACTTGGACCCGTTGGCGGCGATAAACCTTTTTCATACCCATTAGCCTATCTTGCAGGCCAATAGACTCAGGCGGGCTCTCAGTTTTTTCAAGGACACTTTTGACCTAAATTGCAAGCTCAATGAAGAATACACCCGCTGATTATGGTTGGACGTCAGCGTGTCGCACCACCAAGCATGATCGCCATAGACTGTACAGCCCTAGCGCCATAAACATGTCATATGGCACGTTGTCCGCCTTCTCGATAGGGAGAAATATAGTGGTGAAATAGTCAACGCATAGATCTTTTCTCAGGGTACGCTGTAAAACATCCCAATAAAAAAGAGCGTCCCAACAGTGCACGAACACGTGTTCGATAGTTTTCTGCTGTCGGCAAAGGAGGTAGTTTACGCCCCAAGGGAAGTACAACCCACGCTTCAAAAGCCACACCTTCACTGGCAGAGTGGAGCTGTGCAGCCAAAAGAAAAACGTTTTGATAGCCGGCCGGCACACCAATTCTCTTAACACGGGCTAGTATATATTGTCCAGGCCCCGAGACGCACCGCAAATGGTACAGTGGCACAGAAAAAAGGACATCAAGAAGGTTTCGCGTCAGTCGTTTCCACGTGACAGTCGCCAAATACTCAAGTGAAAATCTTGCATTAAAAAAAAATCAAGATCCTCCTTTACGAAATAAACTAGTTTTGCCGGGGGGCCAAAGTCTGAAGTCATAACAAAATACTGTAGGGCTTCTGTTAGGCGGGGCTGTATCATAACTAGCAACAGTGGGTTTTGTTGATCCCACGAAAAAGTAAAACGAGGAACAGTTTTTCAAACAAATCGATGGCCAAGCTTGGCCCCTCTTTTAAGGACTCGGCGGAAGAGGTTATAACCGCAGATGGGTTTACTATCCAACGATCAAACAAACAGTGAAAAGACTCTGTACATCTTCTGGATGCAGCTCCTCGTACACCACAGCACTTGCAGGGCACACCATAGCTTTGAGGTTAAAAATACATTACATACAGTCGCACGAGTAAAATCAACAAAGTGCGGTTACGCCACCGAGATGTCTTTTTCTTAAGGTCTTCGACGACGCTCTGCGAATATGGTGTTGTGCTCTTCATGTGCTGCAACGGGGCTCATAGGTACTTGCACGAAACAGTGTTCCATCTTTTCCCTTCAAACTGCACTGGCGTTGTAGCCCTCGCACCGTGCTATAATCAAGAGCATTTATCTAGGTTAACTACAGCCCCGTTGCCCTACACAACGAAAAGCACAGCTTTAAAACTTCAGTAACACTTCTCTTGTCAACACAAAACAACGCAATGTTCTCCGCGAGGGACAACACTTTCCTTTCAATACAACCTATAAAAAAACGCTTACTTTCTGGCTTTTAGTCACACTTAAACGAAATGGCACTAAATGCAATACGAACAATAACGAGGAGGAGGGACATCCCTGCCTTACAGGGGACGACACCGGTATTTTTGGGCTTAAACAATTATTGCCAGGTGCACCACCTTGGTGGTGCACCTGGTGAACACCATACGGATCCCCTCAAATATAACCCAACATCCGCCCTTTTTCAAACAGCCGAAATAGCATCATGGTGAACACGATCAAAAGCCTTCTGCACGTCTACTTGGATCATTGCTACTTGGCCGCTGTCACTACCAACACATCCTAAAACTGTCCGCGCTACAGGAATTATTTGACTGCATTGATCTGCCCCTAATCCCACAAGTTTGGTGCTCCCCAACTAAATCTCGAATAGCGTGCTGCAACCTACTAGCTAAAATGAGCGCGCAAATTTTATTGTCAACATTTTACAATGTAATGGATCGGAACTCTGTTACACGTTTTGCCTACGTAGCCTAGGTCGTCTTTGGTATCAACACAATATTCGTCCGTGCAAAAGAATGCGGCAAAGCCCTACGGGTGTACACTTCAGGAATCACCTCTAAAAAAAGGGGGAGGGGGAGAGTGCATTCTTAAATTCCTTAAGAAATTATCCGCTAAATCCATCAGGCCAAGGTGTTTCCCGGGACGACAAGCCATCAAAGGCACGCTCAATCTATTCGAGGGTGATCGGCTCTTCCAATCGTTCTCTTACATCATCCGATACCTACGGTGCTCCTTCCAGTAACGCTGCGAGCTTATCTTCGTCTAAAGTAACATCCTGTGTGTCATGTCACTTGATATTAAGCACCCCGCTAAATTTAACGGGGAAGTTGATATAACTTCAGGTGATAAAACGTGGTCACGTGACCTCGATTTTCCTCACTAAATTTGGCGGTAAAATTGGCTTCATGTGAGGTAACATTAGACGTCACGTGACATCAGTTCCTTTTATAAATATAGGAAGAAAATTAACGTCACGTGATTTGAGGTCCCATGACTTGGTCACGTGAGTTGTATTTCCCTGCTAAATTTAGAGTACAGATTGAGATCACGCGAAGTGCCAAGAACTGGGTCAGTTGGCACTGAAGCATTATGAGAAACAGCAAGCAAAAGAACAGACATAAGAAGGGCAGTACAACAGGCGAGCACTCGACTGTTGTGCTTGTCTTGATGTTCGTTTTTTGCGCGCAGTTTTCATTCTGTCTCCACTGAATTTAGCAGGGATATTGGTGACGGTCCTCCAAGATTGTTTTCTCGTGGAATTCAGCTTATAAACCACATTCTGTTAAAAATTCCGAGGAAACATAAGCACTTCTTATGAATTGTGTATGCAAAAGCATGAATGCCATCCTTCCGCACTCTAAGTTCGTCTGCTGCGTACTGGCGCGGACAGCCACCTTTCGCTACTGCCGAGGTAGCGGCCGACGGCCCAGCGCGCGCTCTCGTGAAGTGGCCGCGCCGCGCTGAGCTCGGCCGTGCAGCCTCTCCTGCGCTTGCCAGTGCGGGCTCGCCACGTTTTCCCCCTTTTCATCGAGGACGATCCTCCTTGTCCTCCTTCTGCGTCGCGCCCCCCGCCGCCATGTCTGAGTGAGGCCCACAAGGCGCACCTACGCGCGTGCCTGCGTGCCAGGCCGTACTTGTTCGCTATTGCATGCAGCAAACTAGTTTTTTTTAAAATAAATATGAAGGCCATTTATTTTTTATTGCACTTGGTTTAGCCGTTCAGCCCATTCCGCCCGTTCAGCCGATGATCGCACAGGAACAGAAAGAGAACAAAATGCACGACCTCTCGCTCTTGGCACTGTTTCATTTGCTTCATCAGTCCGTAACGTTGGTTGCGTTCTCAACTTAGGTTAAATAAAGCGATTTTTTAGATCTTAGGGTTTTACAAGCCCAACGAACTAAGGTCATCTGGCACGCCCCAGCCAAAAAGTAATCGCAGATTCATTTATACCAACTGCAGATATTTTGATGTGCAACCAAAATCGCAGATTGACCTCCGTCAGATTGCGGGCACCTCGGCCGGCCCGCCAAACAGGGATTCATAGGCCAGTGCATTGGCTCATAGTCACTAAAGTGTTTTAATGTCTCATGTTTCGGTTTCATACCATTGCCACTTAAAAGCCACTGAGGTGGTTGGGAAACAAAATACAGTTGAGCCATTCCAACAAGTCACAGTATGATTGTGAAAATGATTTCTGCAATTGATAAAATCATTCAATTGTTTTAGCATACCTGACGGCATCGCAAATGGCTGAACCTCTTTCATGACGCATTTCATTGGATCGGGCCAGGCATATATACCCACGCACGGTCGAACTTGTGCAAAAGTAGTTGTGCTGCACCCGCAGCCTCGCGCTTGATGTTCTGACATCTCTGACTCGCTCACTGCGGGCATCCAGGCATCTGGCACCCAAACATCTAGCTCTTTTTCTGTGTTTCACGTGGCGTTGCAAGCGGCACACGACGGCAACTGCAAACCAAGCCATTCTTGAACTCTTGTCGCCATCTGTATTTTATATGAAGAAACTGCAACTTGCCGTAACTCAATGGGAAATGTTTTAGCTCTTATACAAAACCTCACGTGTAAATATCGATATAAAAGTTCTCAAAAAATGAAGGACGTTTACAAATCCCTATAATGTCGAATTAGAAAGCAGCTCTTGAGGAGGAGGAGGAGAGGGTGCGGAGAAAAGGGTACCCTCTCCTCCTCCTCCATACCTTCCCCTTCTCCCCTCCCCCTCCCTCCTCTGCTTCTCCCCCGTTCATCCTCCCCCTCCTCCTCCTCCCCCTCCCACTCCTCCCCTCCCTCCTCTTTCGTGATGTCACTTGTGACCCTAGTGAGCCTCGTGACGTCACTTGTGACCTTCGTGACGTCACTCCTGACGTCACGAAGGTTACACGTGAAGTCCTCGTGAAGGCCGCCGTGAAGGTCTTGACCATCGCCGTGACCTTCACTCGTGACCCTCGTGACATCGCATGTGACGTCACGTGTAACGTCATTATAAAAAACGTCCCATAATGCAACGGGCGGTTACGCCAATGGTGGCGGCGACAGCGACGCCGCTCAAGCCGGAAACGGGCGCCCAAGAGCTGCGCTCTAAAATGTAATATCGAAGGAACCCTCGTAACTTAATGTCTCATATTTCCGATCAGTTGACGTGATTCTAATTTTATAGGACAATGAAATATTACCATTTTAAATTTTATTTTAGAGCGCAGCTCCTAGGCTCCCGTTTCCGGGCTGAGCGGCGTCGCCGCTGCCGTCGCCGCCGGCGTAAACGTGCGTTGCATTATGGAACATTTCCCATAATGACGCCACACGTGACGTCACGTGTGACGTCACGAGCGTTAATTTTTTTTCGCTAAACTTAGCGGAAACTTTCTCCGCTTAATTTTGCGGGAAAAGCTTTCCGCTAAATTTAGCAAATAATGTTCCCGCTAAATTTAGCGAAAAAAATTCCCCGCCAAATGTAGCAGGGCAATTTTGGTCAGAACTTCAGCTTGGGCGAGTTGGTTATTCATGATACTGCTTCACAGCGCACAATTGTATCTGATCTTGTGCGCTGTGAAGCAGTATCAGGACAATTTTACCCTCGTGACGCCACACGTGGCGCCACTCAAACCGGAAAACTTTTCCCGCTAAATTTAGCGAAAACATTTGTCGCCAAATTTACCGGGAAAATTTCACCCTCTTGACGTCACACGTGACGTCACGTGAATGAATGTGACGTCACGTGAAATTTAGTGGACAAGCTTTTCCGCTACATTTAGCGGAAAATTTTACCCGCTAAATTTAGCGAGAGACTTCACCTCACGTGACCTTAGCACCAATTCCGTTTCTCCGCTAAATTTAGCGGGGAAATTTTTGCTAAATTTCCCGCTAAATTTAGAGGCAAAAAGTTCGTAAATTTCCCGCTAAATTTAGCGGGAATATTTACCTGCTAAATTTAGCGAGGAATTTTTCGATAAATTTAGCGGGATATTTAGCACAAATTTCCCGCTAAATGGGAGGGGCGCAGGAGAGGAGGGTATGGAGGGGGAGGGGGGCACACCCTATCCTGCGTACTTTCCCCCCTCCTCCTCAAGAGCTGCGCTCTAATTCGGCATTACAGAGACCTGTAAACGTGTTTTATTTTTTTTATTTACATATCTGTACAGTTTGTTGCTTATTTTTCTTACTTTATTATATGCAACGGACCGCTCACGTAAGTTATCATGAACAATTGGACGTTCTAACGGTGATGACTTGAGCGTGTTGATACCATATTCGGAAAAACAGCCTGGAAAAAACTTTTTATTTCTTCCCTAAGCTCAGGCTCTTTTTCCAAGAATGAACGTTATGTCAAGTAAACAAATTCAATATTAGATATTAGGGTCTATTAAAACAAAAATAATAAACTAACAGCTATAAATGGACGTAATATTATAACATTAAAGTATAGCCAAAAAGTTGTTCTTTCATTTGACATTAACTTTAACACTAAAATATATGAAAAAAATCATGAACCGTCAAAAAAGAAGCAAAACGGCCTGCCCGGTTGGGTTGCACCTTAAGCAGACTCCCGCGCTGTAAAATTGGGCATTGTTTAAGAAGCAGAAATACTGCAATGCCCAAATCGACTGTTTAGGTTGGCACGCTTTTCACGACCTCGTCTTGTGTAAACATGGCACAGCACAAAATGAACTCACCTATGCAAAGCGGCGGTGGCGCGGACCACTTTCCGTCATAGTTGCACCTGATGCTTTGTTCTCCGCGGAGTTGAAATCCCGGTCTGCAAGCGAAGCTCACGTTGTTTCCTACTTTGTAGTTGTTTTCCAGCTTGATGCCGTTGTCAGGAGCCCCTGGATCGAGGCAGAAGCTTTTCTCGCTAATCGATGCTGCAAGGAAAATTTAAAGTAAGTACAGTAAAACCACCCTTAGTCCCATGTTTCGTCACAAATTATTTTCTTATACTCCCTTATAAGGAGAAATCCTGACAACGAGGACATGCGCTATGGCGACAGAGTGTCTAAGCGCGTGACTAAAACTTCTAAACTATGGGTTTAAGGGAATAGGGGCGATTGAAGGGACACGGATCTTCCCAAAGACTTAATTTAAAGTGCCTATAAGTGACACGTATGTCACAAAAAAAAATACTTTTCTTGAATAAACATATTTTTGAGTAGAATATTTACGCCGCAAAACTCAATTCGGATAAAACTATGCTCTGCCCTCGCCCCACTGCAGGCCCCATATGTACCCTGCCTGGGCAGTTGAAAACATGTTTTGGCAGTTTTTTGTCCTAACAAACTCCCGCGATCAAAAGATAACGGGAGAGAAAAGTCTGGGGACATTTTTAAAGGTACATTAGCTCTCCCCATGGTGTCCAGTGGTGTTTGAGAGGCCACCCAATGTTTCTGGTGGTGGCTGAGGCGGGCCGTGGAATTACCGTGACGAGCAAAGTATAAATACAGCTCTAATATCGGTTGGTATGTCTGAGATTGGCCAATTTTCACAAAGAATTCAAAGAAAGCATGCGCAATAAGTTCGGCGCAAGTATGCCGCGACTGTGCTACTTGTCGCTAAGGGCTACATCGCATCTATCGGTTATTTCTTGGTTCATCACTCGCATCGCATCGTCTACTGTTGCCCAATTATTAAAAACGACACTGACACACCACAAGACATTTTTTTTTACCAGGTAATTTAATATGGTGCTAGGATACTACCCAACCTATATTAGCTACAGAGTCACGTATATTTTTAATAAAACCAAAATTACGCAACTCTTCGAAACAGAACCCGAAACATGAGCACGGAGGCTCATGGCCGCGACATGTGGACGATGTGGCCCAAGGAGGAGGGAGATATGTAGAGGTGGAGAGAGTTGCCGGAAGTCACGTGAGTATCGCTCTCTTCTCTGTTTGTTTGTTTGTTTGTTTTTCTCGGTTTTTTTGGCGTGTGAAGTAGACGACGAGGACATTACGGGCACCGTTTGTCGTGCGATTGTTTCGCTCTTATTTCCGTCCCGCTCGCTGTTTTGTGCTTGAAGATCGATTGGCCGGTGCCACCAACGGCAGCTCGGAAGTAGTGGCGGTCCCTTGTCCGTCGGAACGTTGGTCCCCGTGCGCCATCATCGCGTCGTCCAGCCCGCGGTACGTCTCCATATTGAGAATGACGTAGAATACGTGTATTTCCTGTGATATGTGCAACATCCTTTTTTTTTCACTCATTGTCTTTGCAGATTTTTGGAAGCCACAAAAAAAATTGTGTTATATTTTGTTTTTCTATTTTAATAGTGAACGTGTCATTTTCATGACTCAAGACTTCGAATATATTTCGAACGTTAGTTTGAACAGCTCGTGAACCTGGAAAAAAAGTGAGCGGACCTCAAACAAGACAATTCTCAACCAGCTGTTTTCGTGCTGAAAAAAAAAACGCATTTCGAGCCACAATTTGTTTACTGCGTGGTTGGGCTGTCATTAGTCATGTTTGAACAACAACCTCGGCGAGCATAGATACCCTGTCAGTGCTCTTGAAAGACCAGTTGTCTCTTGGTGCTTCGCACGTGTAGTGTCCCGCTGAAGGCTGGCCTCTACCGCTGTCATCGCTTTAACCATGAACTCGAAGAAAACTAGCAATGATTACACTTTCCCTATCGGGACCCAACGACGCGCGAACGGAGAAACGCGTGCCCTACGACAAATGCTACGTACGTAAGGATCCCCGAGGACTCCTAAATATAAGCGGGAAAAGCGAGTGCAGTGACGGTGAAAGTCTTATTAACCAGCTAAGAAGGCCAGAGGGCTGTATCTTCAACGTCACCTAAAGAGGCAAGTCGCAGATTGAACGCGAGTGTCAGCGTTCAGCGTTCGGCCGGGGCTCGAGTCCAATCGATGATGACACGAGTCTCGGACGAACGCTGACGCCGAACTCGTGCCCAACTCGTGTCCTGCGCTTGTCTCTGGTATACGTGACGTACTAAATGACGCGCCACGACTCTGCTATTTCGAAGGTATTTTAGAACCCGCCTCCTCGCCACCCCAATGTCCGAATTTCCATTCCGTTTCCCAACCCCCTTGGGGTATAACGTAGCGGGTATGAGAATACTTGCTCTTCTAGAACATCTTGTCCGAAAATTGGAACTTTTATCAAACCGTCCCTTTTTCCGCGCGTACCGCACTACCGGAGCCTTTGAGGCATGCTTTTAAGCGCGTGCTTCAAATTAAGGCTCCGGCAGTGCGGTACGCGGAACACGGGAACGGTTTGCTAAGTTCCCTCTGGGTGAAAGCTTGCCAACTGTTATATTATGGGATATGTCTGCGCTTTCCGTGACGGTTGTTGGTTAGTCGCCTATACCAATCATGAGTCTGCATAGGTCTCGCCAAGCATTTTTAATACTTTTCCCCCGCAACTTACGATGGTGAACAGATTGATTGATTAATACATTGATTGGTCAGTTGCTTAATTGACTGATTATTGATTAGTTTGTGGACTGCATCTTTTATAAATTATGTGTTGATTAACTGATTAATTGATACATTGATTGGCTCCGGACTCATTTTAGATTTAGTGATCGGTTTGGCTGATTAGGGGGTTAACTGATTGATTGATATTTTTGAATACTTATCGAGTGATTGCTTGATTAGTTGATTTACTGATCGATCGATCTATATCTGAAGTTCAGTGCTCACCCTCCGAAACGCAGCGGGCCACGTCGCCTCCCCACTGACCGTCGCTGAAGCACTGGCGCTCCGGAGAACCTAGTAGGCGGTAGCCTTGGAAGCAGTGGAAGGACACCGTCGATCCCACCGCGGTGGAGCTGCCCGTCATCCAGCCGTTGTCGGGGGCCACCAGCGCACCGCATTGAATCACTGTGGCAGAAAAGCAGAAGATTGTGATATGAAGAATTGTGAGAAATCTTGAAGAATCGGTGGGTCGGGCGTGTTAGCGCATCTGGACGAGCATCGCGTGCAATTGTGTATCAAGTCTGCTAGACGCATGTTAAATACCCTAGGCCTGCTGTGGTACTGAAGTTGCCGAATTTCTCATCTACCGCGGAGACAACAGCTGCCCGCTGCGACTCACTAACTAATGTATAAACAAACACAAAACAGAGTTTAAATTTTGATTAAGAGCCCAGCTCGCACATTCATCTTATTGAACAGACTTAAATTTTCCCCTAAAAAATATCACCTTATTCATAATTCTGTGTGAAGTATTACAGTTAGATTGTCAAGAAACGCGAACTATAGCGTGTTTAATTCTTGTTTTAGTGATTTGTGCATATATTCTTCGAAGTATTTATTGACGCCTTTTACAGTAAGTGCCGTCGCCTAGAAAGCTGGCTTCAAAGCCATCCCAGAGAGTTTGTTCCAAGAAGCTTCATGCATACTCACAGTGGCATTTGGGCGGGCGGCCGAACCAGCCTCCGCTCTTGCAGGTGGTGCTCGAAGGACCGTCCAACACGTAGCCCTCCTCGCACTTGAAGTACACCGTAGTCCCCACGGAGAAAGACGTGGCATTCGTAGCTCGGAATTCCGGTACAACTACGTGAGGTCCAAAGTCACGCCGGGTGCAGTTGTACGCTGCGTATTATGAAAATAAGGAGTTACCTCTACAATAAAGTAATCTCTCCCGTCTGCAAGCCCGTACGCTAATATCAAACTATAGACCCTTTCTGCGAGGGCGCCGCCATATTGAATAGCGGAACAGCCGGTATGCGGGAAAACATCGTTTCGCTCTCGACACACTACTGAGAGAAGTTCACGTTTCAATCGCGACTGTCTATCATTCTTGCTTTGGCTTTTCTACATCATTTTATTGTTGCAAACTGCATTGCCTTACTTTTTTTATTTTCTTTCGTCCCGGCTACCGGAATTGTCAACCACATGGCTGGGGTCGAGGGTGAACGAAGAAGGCACATAATGTACAGTGTGTTTTTGAAAACGCGGGCCAAATCTCTCCTGCAAAAGCTACGCATTGCACAGAAAACAGGTTCATGCCATAGCGGTCTGTACCAAATGGCCATAAAAAAAATTATTACTTTTCAATACATTTGGGTCATTAACTACTGTTTAGAACTTAAACTTTTAATTATTGACTTTAAAGGTACGGTTTCAATTCGACACTTCAAGCCAATCATCCGAAACTACGAAATCCACCCATACACCGCCTCCTCCACACTCACAAAGCCTGGCAATTCGATGACGGTGCCATAGAGTGCCCGGTCGCAGATTTGGAGAGCATGGATCTATTATCACAGAGCATCAAAGAGCTCTGTGCTACCAGTCAGTGTGAGCCGAAACAGACTTGTTCGCTCGGAAGAAGTGTGTTTCGGCGTCTCGCCGCAGTGGGGCGCCAATCACGTGGCTCTCCTCTCATCCGTTGCCTGGCGCTCCACCTTTTTCATTTCGGCGGCCGCTCCTCTGGGCGATCTGCCAGGCTTTGTCAGTATATAGGAGGCTATGACCAGTATTACAATGATATAAGGTACGCGCAGCATTTTACGGCATTCCGAAAAATTACCTAATAGGCCAATAGGCTTCCTGCGCTGAAGCTTTGGACAAACTGTAGCGCCCTCATTTTGGTTAGTACAAGCTCACCTGATCGAGCATAGTACTACTTATGGCAAGTTTGTCGAGCTTTTTCAATTCTATGTGGTGCTAAAGAACGAAAACACACCTTTGGACGCCAGAAATCGGCCAAACTCAACGTCGCAAGAGAATCAAAAGTGCCAAATTCATGACACCGCTGCTAGGGCACGCGTCTCTTATCTCTGGGTGGTGACGTCGCAACACCTGTGTCGCGACGCTTAATTTTTTTTTTTTTTTTTTCTTTTTGATGTCTACTTTGGAACGCGTGAAATGGCATCTCTTGGCTCACGCTCTCAGCGTCTTAGCTTTGACGGCGTTCGAATTTTCGTTGTCTTTGTATTTTCATCGTGATCTCGCGCTCCGCACCAGAGCAGGCACGCTTCTGCATGCGTGACAGTTTGAGACGCTACTATTTGTACTACCCAAAACAAGTCCTAACAAGTCCCATTCGCAGCACCTATAGTATAGTGCCTGGAACGCGTCTCCGACTGGTGTGTTTACCGCGGCCAAAAAAGTGGTCCCTCGATTTCCGCCTGATGACGTCATCAAAATGTCATGCTGTCGCCGGTCGCGACCCTGGCGGCGTCCCGACAGCTGTGGTGTATGTAGCAGATGCCTGTTCTGCTGCAGGTCGCTTTCCACTGTGACAGTTCACGGTAGCTCTAGCAGCCGGATTTGGGACGTCTAAAGGGACGCCATGACGACAGCGACACTCGCGTTCGCTCGTGCTTTTCGCCAGCATTTCTACGGCCAACCGCCAGGATCGCGACAGGCAACAGCATGACACTCGCCTCATTTGTTGCCACATCGGGACCACTTTTGATGTATGGGCGGGATAGGACGCTAAACACACCAGTCAAAGACGCGATCCAGGCACCATACCTATAGGCAGCGCAGGAAGCCCATTGCTATATTACCCAAGCATCAAGTAGAATGCAGGGATTGGTGTTCCACGCGCCGCACGTGCTGGCGTCAGCAGTAGTAACTTTTCTAAAGCAAATACCTAAAACAAATGGCATCTTGCACGCGTTCGTCAATGCTTTATTTTGATTATTTACTTCGATTTTTTTAAACGGAGAAGGCGTGCGCGTGTGTTGCGTGGAACACCAACCCCCAATTCTCCTTGATGCTTGGATAATACAGCAATAGGTCAATTTGGCCGCGTTTCTAGGTCTCGGTTTCTTATCGGAACGCGTCTCCGCGCTAGCAATTTCACCCGGTGCAGCCAAAACGCGCAACCTGCCTGCGCCGCTACGCATTGCACGTAAAAGTTCGTCTTCTTGCTAGCACCGACGTCACAAAGGCAAACCTCATCTGGCCAGTCCGGGGGCTTTCTTATCTATAGTCGTCTCTACGTGCGATACGTGGTGGCGAACGTATACCTCGCGTGTTCTGGCCACAGGCCGCGGGATTTCCGGCGCGGAGATGCACTCTGTTAAGAAACCGAAACCTACCTTGCGTAGCAGCGCGAGAATGTCACATAGGAAGCAAGAACAAGCTCAAGCCAAACTCATCACCGAAACTCGAACACCGGCTAACGCGCTCCCTCTGCGTGGGACATTAAAAAAACACATCAGCATACCTAATCAATCAGGTAACTTGTATCTACACACTATTTTTAAAAAAAGACGCCTTGAAGTTGCTACTTCAAACGCAGAAGTGCTTTGGCGGGCTGCAATGTCCAACCGTCCGCAATGTCGCGCCGGGTCACCCTAATCCACAGCTGACGCTTCGACGTGTGCAGTCTAGCAGAGGGAAACCTGGAAAAACTTAGAAGCGCGAGAACGCTCGCCTTCGTTGCTGCATCCGACAGCGGAACGAATCCTGGAGAAAAGCTCACCGGAAAAAAGCTCACCGGAGAAAAGCTCACCGGAGAAAAGCTCACCGGAGATAAGCTCACCGGAGAAAAGCTCACCGCAAAACCGACGGATCCAGAGAAAAGCTCACCGGCCATTGAGCGTATGCGGAGAAAAGCTCATCGATTTTTAGAGTGCAGCTCTTAGCCGCCCGTTTCCGGCTTGAGCGGCGTCGGCGTCGCCGTCGCCGTTGGCGTCGGCGTAACCGCGAAGTCACGTGACCCCCCCAAGGTCACGAGACCCCCAAGGTCACGTGACCCCCAAGGACCTCGGGTTCCTTCGGGAGGACCTCGGAAGACCTTGGGTTCCTTCGGGAGGACCTCGGAAGACCTTGGGTTCCTTCGGGAGGACCTCGGGTTCCTTCGGGAGGACCTCGGGTTTCTTCGGGAGGACCTCGGAAGGACCTCGGGTTCCTTCGGGAGGACCTCGGAAGGACCTCGGGTTCCTTCGGGAGGACCTCGGGAGGACCTCGGGTTCCTTCGAGAGGACCTAGGGGGGGCGGGTCACGTGACCAGGGGCGGTCACGTGACGATGACGTCATCAGTGACGTCATCAATGATAATGACGATGACGATGCTGATGCCGATGACGTCATCAGTGACGTCACTGATGACGTCATCATCACTGATGACGTCATCGTCACGTGACCCCCGGTCACGTAACCCCCCGGTCACGTGACCCCCCCTTCCCCCTAGATCAAGTGACCCTCCCTTTCCGAGGTCAACTGACCCACCCCCCCCCCAGTACCCTTCCCTCCTCCTCCTCAAGAGCTGCGCTCTAATTCGACGTTACAGAGAGCTGTAAACGGCTTTAATTTTTTCTTCTTTTTTTTATATGGAGGCTGTTGGATCATGCGTAACATAAGTATATCAATTTATTGTTAATGAAATTCGTAAGCTTTGTAGAAAAGAAAACTCCATTTTTTGTAATATTTGTTAAGCTTATTGGCTATATTGCTCTCAAATTAATAATTGCGGGCGAGTGTTTTTGTGGCTTACTCTCTTGGAGACGAAAGCCTAACGGCCTAACTGAAAACTTAATGAACCTGAAGAACAGCAATATGTTCGAACACTTAATAATATCTGCTTAAAACCTAAAAATCAAAACTGTAAATGCCGAAAAACCGAAAGTGCATGCGCAACAACGCGGTGCCTGAAATTATCTTTGAAGCTTTTGTTAACCTTTTAAAACAGGATAAATCAGTAAGTAGGATACCGAGGCTTCTTTCTTCCACGGACATGCACGTTTTCTAGCCGTTCGTGTTGATGTTTCCATACGTTGCCTTTGTGTGATAGTGCCCTTCTACGGCGAGCCACTCATGACCTTCAGAGCTGCACACTGGCACCGTTGTTACTCGTGACCTATATAAGAAGTAGTCTTCTGTAAGTAAGTGAATCGGGCGAGTTGGTAAACGTTATACATGATGAAAACCGCTCAAACGACGACGACGGTGTGAAGACAACAAACACGACAGGACGCAGCTGTTCTCGCAACTAAAGGTTTGTTAGTCAAATTAACAGAAATAAAACAGCGTAGCCGACACAGATTACATCAACAAACCCCTACTTATCTATTAGGCATTACACAATACTTGGAGCTGAAACGGTTCGCACACCGCTATTCATATTAGCTCGCAAAAAAAAAGTATTTTTATCTGACAGAGCTACCGACTGCGCACTGTCAGCTGTCGATAAATTGTTGTCTTTTTTACTAATGTACGATGTTCTGATTTTACACACCCCCCCCCCCCCCCTTGCGGCTTCAATAATATACAAAATGGTTTATTACTAATTTCTGAGGAATTAGTAAATATTTACAATGAACTTCAAGAGTATTGCAAAAAAATATTACGTATTTTTAATGAAGTGACGAATGCGAATTGTGTTAAATTGCCACGTTTGACGCAGAATCCGCCAAGTTAAAAACAAAAAATCGGTGAGCTTTTCTCCGCATCCGCTCAAAGGCCGGTGAGCTTTTCTCCGAATCTGCCTGTTTTGCGGTGAGCTTTTCTCCGGTGAGCTTATCTCCGGTGAGCTTTTCTCCGGTGAGCTTTTCTCCGGTGAGCCATTGAAAATTTCGGACTCCTGCCTGCTGCTGCTGGCTACACACGCACAGTGGAAACTTCAGAAAATAATACGAATTCTAGGGGCGGGATATTTATTACAGATTACTTTAACGCCCTCCGCGAGTTTCATCCTGCTACACTTGTTCAGCGAGTTCTTTATGCGAAGGTTAAATGCACCTCCAAAATTTTCCTTCGGTGAAAGTTTGGCTTCGCTAAGGTTGCAGTCCATTCAAAGAAGCCACTTACCCAACATAGCTCCAGTTTATTTTTTTCTTTTATTAGTGCCAAACGGTCATGTAAACTAATAGCACGGCTAAATGTGCTCGTAATGGGTACCAATATAAGCGCTAACATTTGGTTTTATTTTATCCATAACCCGTTATGAGGAATACCCCAGAAAGCGCCGATGTTATGTTCGCACGAACTGTGTCTCGTGGTGCACATTGACTGGCAACAGTGCGCACTTACCGACGCACTGTGGGGGGTCTGCGTCCCATTCACCATTTTCCTCGCAGAACAGGATGTCAGAGCCCTCGACTCGGTAGCCGTCGTCGCAAGAAACGAACACGTCGTCCCCCAGGCCGTAGTAGTCCCCTTCCGATTTGGCTCCAGACACTGTACCGTGGTCCACTAGGAATCCCTCGCAGGCAATGGCCGCTGTTGAAGGGCAGGAGTGAGTTGTTTATTGATGACTCTTCTACAGTTCGGTACTTTGTGTTTCTTTAAGTCTATCCGTCTATAACAACTCAAATCTAGTCTATGACGACTCAAATTGCTTTCCATTCTGCTTTGGCTGCGTGTGCAAGGTCGAAGCTCACGAGACACCGGAGTGTTTTTAAAAGAGAAGTTCGTGCTGGCGGTGGGACAATTGAAAGACCTCCCAGCCCTTTTTATCCTGTCAGTGACAATATTACACATAAAAGAATGCTTCAACGAAATTGGAAATATGCCTGTCTTGTTCAGAAATAGTCTGAAATGATCCACAATACCCGTAAATGACAATCGCACGTTTCTTCTTGGAGCTTGATGGTTGTATTTTTTGTTATGAACGGCCCAACCGGGCAAGGGCTAGGGCTGTAGCCAGCGCAGAGCATGTGACATTAGGCGCAATCGCAACGTAGTTAGTCTCGGAATGAGCAAAGCTGCGGCGAGGCTGACGTCTACAGGATGCCATAGCCGTTCCAGCTGCCGAAGCGTCCGAAGTATGCCAGCGATCGGGCCACCGCAACTATAACCGCAAAGCTGCTTCTGTGAGAATTTTGAGTGACGGGTTAATGTTCCAGAATCTTGTAGATGGACAGTAGCGACGTCTGGGACACACAAAAGAGAGTTCCTGTGAGAGGCGAGTTCCTCCTTCCCCTCATCTCTCGTGGTGGCCGTAGAGCTGGTGGGATGGCGTCAGGTTCAAGGCATGTATAGTCCCAGGTGAGACAAGCATCCTTATTGCTTGGAAAGGTTCCTAGACGGGCATTACAAACCAGGCTTTAGCGACATACACTAGCTGCCCTTTGCTGATCGTTTAATTCGTTTTAAAATTATATTTTCTCTTTTTCAACAAGAGACTGGTGTGGCCGATGTGACACTGCACCCTTGAAAACGTATAGACCAAGAAATAAGCGCCGGAATATCGTTATAGTATCCCTTTAAAAGGGAACAAGGTCCGTGGCCGTGTCTGCAATAGCCATCGATAGGGTTCGAACAGCCGAGAGGTCTTTCCGTTATACCCCTTTCAGCACGAGCTTACTACCTTCCATTACACTCTGGAGCTTTGTGAGCTTCGAGCATGCACACGCAGGCAAAGCACGGCGGAAGGCAGGGACGGCGTGCTGGAGGCCGACCATCCTAAAGAGGCGCACTGCCCTCCCTGTAGAACCCATGGAATGTGGACTTCAATTTACGACACTGCTGGCTTTGATATGCACAACATTACGGCGGCGGGCAGTCACGTAATCACTACAGTGCTCCTCACGTTGAATAAATACCCCACTTGAAGCTAATTTGCTGATTCGCAGTTTTGACCCAGCATCGGCAAATTTCGAATAAATGAAAGTTTTTTTTTTTTTGTATTGCATTCCCAAAAGTTCATTTGTATTGGCACCATTTGTGAGCTTATATCGAAGAGAAGAGTGCAGGTGAAAATTGTTAAAGAATGTATTGCAATGCTTCTGCCAGACAGCCAGCACCAGAGAAGGCCATGATTGAAGCGTGTAAACGAGCCATGGAGAGCAATCCACGTAATCCACAGGCAAGGCGGAAAGGTCAGTAGGCTTACTATAGCTTCCTCTCAACCACCTTGTAATCGTAACTCTTCCCTTCTCATACTGGCCCCAACAATCACCCTTTTCAACGCCACATTGAACACCGCGTTGAACAACGTCGCGGCTACGCATCCTGTCAGGCGTCCGGCGCGGGGAACCTTGATGACCCTCCACTATACGGAGCCTGTCCCCGAGCGCAGTCATCCCCATATGCTATCCCAACTCTACCGTCTTAACCACTTCCTCATCCGTTAGCTGCACGGGGTGGACCACCCCACCCCGGGAAGCACAACTTCCGTTCTGGCTCCATCTATCACCGTCTTTACCTCAAGAACCGTAGCAAAAAAAGGTCCGGCTCCACGCGGACCCTTACTAATTTTTCCCCTTTACGTGAAGAATTACGATATATGTAGGTACATTTTAGATTGGATCCATGCTATGCTGTCAAGACGTACACGTTTCAAACTCCAAAAGAATTACTACTTTCTGCGACAACCAAATATCGTAAGAACTACTTCGTGCGGTGTATGAACAATGCGCACAACTTGCTTTTTTTATGTAAAAAAGGGTAGGGTGTCCCACACTCTCCGTATCCAAGGAACCATGCTACCGACCTCAACACCGACATCCTCCTGGTGCCGGCAAAGGATAACGATGACGCGGACCGTCATTTTTATCAAATTTGTTTTAATCACTGCGCATGCGCGACATCGGGGAAACTATACTGACGTCACGTCGCTAGCGTATACTTCCTTGCCGGTGGAATACGTCTTCACCTCTCTATTCTCTCCACCGTAAGTTTCAGGTTCTTTGAATTTCAGTATCCCTAAAAATGCGTTGCTTAAACGTAAAATCCGTAAAAATGCGATCTGAGCAGATAGCAAATAAATCGCTCCCATTTTTTCGACGATTGCGGTGGTTAGCTATCCCCGCGGCCCGTACATTGCGGCAAATCAGACCCGCGTGCCTTATTTATTAAAAGTGCGACTATTACTCGAGCAAATACGGTACTGTCTGGGAGTATGGAAACTTGCCCCGTCAAATCTTGCATACCACAATTAGCACATGGCCGGAAAAATCCGCTACCTTGACCCACGATGCTTTCTTGCGAGTTCATTTTGTCGACAATTGTTGTACAGTGGCGCCACCTTCCTACTGTGTAACGACGTTATTGTATGCGCAGCTACAGCCTCTGGCAGTTTATGGAACGCAGGGCATGGCGAGCCCCGACTTTCCTCGCTTCGTAGCCTATGCGGTGCGCAAGTTCGTCTGCTTTTTTAGTTGGGGGTCCTGGTGACGTCGGAGCGCTGAGCTGCGATTGGCTCTGATTGAAGGATGGTGGGTAGACCTCAAAAAAAGCTGCTTTCAGGTCTACCCACTATCCTTCCAGTCAGAGCCAGTCAGAGCGCGGCGTTCTAAAGTCACAGCAACCCCCTGCGAAAGAAGCAGACGAACTTGCCGTCCGGATAGGTATGCGGCATTGACCGATAAGGACACTGAAAAACGAATCGCGCGAAGCAAGGTGTACGTGATCGTGATAGGTCTCGCCCTGGTTTTTTTTTTCTCTAAGTTGTCAGCATAATTATAGTTCCTAAATAATTTTATACAAGCCGTCAAACCAAAGCGCATCACCAATATCTCGTTTCCCCTTGAGTCAAAGCGTAACCGACGTTACGTGCCGATGGGCCAATCAAACAGTGTCAAAAGCGCAATATCACAGCGATCGTCGTTCGTTTTGCGTGCAGCGTCTCCAGCAAATTTAATCAGGCACACGGAGCACACTGCGACATTCGCTTTTAGTTTGTGTGTATACCGTATTTACTCGAAATGATAGCCGCACTATTTATAAACAAGGCCCTTGCGTCTACGTTCCCACGGAACACATACACAGCCAGTCATTATGTTGCGCATAAATAACAAAGCGAATTAGCGAATAGCGAATAACATAGCACGATTCTCCATACAAATGAATCTTCACGGATGGTATCTTTGCATGAAGACGTTATCTTTGTCCTGTAAACAGCTGTAATCATGCTGTTGATCGTGGTGATTGGCAGTCTGCGTGCTCCGCGGAAACGCGAACCCACAGGTTTCTTCAAAACAGTGCGGCTATTACTCGAGTAAATCCGATAGTCACTGTTAACTTCAGACGAGCAGGGCGTGCCTTGTTTTTGGTTCGTGAGTCAATCTGCAGCGTTCTTATTGGCTTACGTTGTAATCACACTGGCGAGTAGGAGCGGTAACAAGATGCTCGCGATCCGCCACGCTCTCAGTTTCCTGAGCTATCTGCACCCATGTGTTCGTGTGTGGTCTAACCTCGGCTGAGCTCTGACTTCGGACGAAACCGAGTGCGGTGTCATCGCAAAGCATTTTGCGAAGTGACTATGTTCAGAAAAGAGCTTGAGAACGTAACTCACGTTTGCACAGTGGTCGCGGCGATGACCAGAGGGAGTCGGCGCCGCACCTTAAGATTTGCTCTCCAATCAAATCGTAGCCCTCATGGCATTCGAAGAGCATCAGTGTTTCCCGAGGACAGCAGCGGCCCTCGTAGACTTCGTTCGCCAGAACTGCCAGCTTGTTGCCTTTTGCAGACACCCCAGGATCCGGACAGAAGATGCCTGAGTAAAGGAAAGCTGCCCTCAAACAGATGCACTTAAACCGCGGACGTAGGGAGAGGAGGACGCGACATACTACCGGCCCCAGCCAGTCAAACGAGAAAATCCCGAATGAAGCCGGAACGTCGCGGTCGTTGAGAACGCCCCCATGAGTGACCGAGGGTGTTCTTCCCGTCCAATAAAGTCTTTTGGTTTTGTTCGTTTATGGTCCTCGTTGGAAACGTGCCCCTCGGAACCGGAAGCCGTTCCGGCTTCACCTCCGGTGGCGTCATGTCGCCTCCTGAAGCTTCCTACCTCGATGCCTTAAATGGTTAAACTGCTCATACATCATGCGAACAACACGGTATTCGCTGCAGACATGATGACAAATTACCTCCGGACAAGCCTCAACCATGTTCGAAGCATGTTTGCTAAGCTTGACACATGTGCATGCTTCGAGCATATCTGCAGAGAGATGGCCAATGTGACAGAAGCGTCGTACAAAGAAAGGAACACGCAGACAGCGTCTGCAGACTGTCTTTTTCTCGATGCACTAGCAATGCGACCTCGGCTTTAGGACTGCCACATCTGTTACACTTTGTACTGAATACACCCCTTACCAAAAACACTATGACTTTACGAACGATAGAATAGTTATGTAATCGTTTTCTGGCGCGTACGTGTCATGTCTAGAAAACCGTGTGTTCAGATAAAAATGAAAACGTATAACTTGTGGGAGGCACCCCTAGGGCGCCACTATCCAGTCGCCGCCGCCGTAACCCGCCACCACGCTCTGCGCCGGGGAGACGAACGACGGCTCGACGCGCGCGCCGTACAACGGGTGCGTTGCCTCGAACCCCGAAAGTAGAAGAAGAACGTCACAAGTGCTTAAAAGGTCTCCTGGGTCGAGGCCGGTCATGGACAGCCGCACTTCGAACTTTTCGGTGTGCACCTAATCGTCCCGTCCTTCCAATATTAAATGTAGCCACTTGTTTTTCAAAAACCTTGCTTTGCATCATTCCTCTAGGTTCGGCAAGCAGCAAGGCAACCTTCCCAAAGACTTTAATCCATTCAAATATATTCGTAAAACCATAATTCTTCAAGGTCATGAAGGCAAAACGAGAAACTGATATATATAGACGTTTGCAAGCAGTCGCACTTCAAAAGCTAGTCTGGCAACCGTGGATGGAAACCGCTTTGTTTGGGCGCCGGTCTGCAGACCCTGGGTACGCCTCAGCAATGCTTGGCTGTCACACGATCTACCCACAACACCAGCAAGATGGCGGCGCCCAGGGGCCGTACCTGCACACGTCTATAGTTCATGCAAGTTTGGTCAAGCGTATAAATAGTAGTATTAACGATTTTGTTTTTTCAGAGCAATCTTAAAGACCGACCTACACTTCGCTCTTTCCACTTTTCGCCGCTGCTGCTTTCCTATATCCACTCTTTTTTTTTTTTTAACCTTGCCCCAACTTGGTTTTTTTCGCAGCTTAGGAAAGACGAGAACCAAGAGGATCATCTTCTTTGCAGAAAACCGAGGTTGTAGATCGGCCTGTAACGTCATCGCCACAACCAGCGTTCCTTCAGTTGTCGTTGCCCATAGCCGCTTCTCCTGTTTCAAATTTGGATCGTACCAGTCAATCTAACAACTCTGGGGCGCCTACTCTGCCACAAAGCACTTCGGAGAACCAATCGCTGCAAATATGTTTAGACCTAAAAAGACGGTCTGCGCAGTGACGTTGAGCACGGTGAAACGCCGTGCTCAGTGCCCCGACGCAGACTGATTTTGTTAGGTCTTGGCATATTTGCAGCACCTCAATTCGCCGAGCCTTCCCTGTATATGACAGCCATTGGCTCACTTAAGGTGCAGGAAAGCGGCCTTCCGACCATGGAGGGTCAGTGGTTTTGTCACATTGGACGCTATGATTCCGTGGGAGACACCTGACATTTTTTTATTACTCCGTCCACCCCGCGCGTTGACTGTTCTTCTTCTTTTCTTTTTTTTTTTTTCTTTTTTTGCATTTGCGGTCGTGAAAGGAGAGTTTGATAAGAGGGATCTGAAATAAAATTCGGGGCTTCTCCGTGACTTGCTTTAAGCGTATCGACGTTTGTATGTACGGCGTTTTTACGAAACGCCATTTCACTTCCGGTACAGTGGCTGGAACGAGTCTCCGACTGTCAAGTTTAGCGTCCCTTTCTTCCCAGGTATCGAAAATGGTTCCCAAGTGGCAGCAAATGTTATCTCAAAAGCCTGACTGTCATGCTGTCTAATGTCGCGTTCGTAGCGGTTGGTCGTGGAAATACCGGCGAACAGCACGAGCGAACGTGTGTGTCGCCCCCGTCACAGCGTCACGAAACTTAGCGGCCGAAGCTTTCGTGGACTGACAAGCTGAAGTGCGACCTGCAGCTGAACAGGAACGGCTCGCTAGAGACAGCAGTGAGAAAGAAAGCATGATTTCTTTCATCCAGTCACTGCCAAAGCCACATCATGCGCTGGCTTTGGCAGTGCTATAGCCTCCTCTATACTCCCAAAGCCTGGCAGTTTGACGACGGGACCGTAGAGTGCTCGGTCGCAGATTTGGAGCGCGAGGATCTGGTAGCACAGAGCATCAAAGAGCCATTTCTCGGGAAACCTGGACGTCAGCGCACAGCTTTCGAGGCGGCGAGGACCTGAAACACACTTGTTCGCTTAGAGAAGTGTGTTTCGGCGTCTCGCCGCAGCGGGGCGCCAGTCACGTGGCTCTCCTCTCATCCGTTGTCTGCCGCTCCACCTTTTCCATTTTGGTGACCGCTTCTAGTGGCCATCTGCCAGGCTTTGTCAGTATAAAGGAGGCTATGGCAGTGCACTACCAAAGCCAGCGCACGAGCTGAGTGGGACTCAAACCGCGTTTCCAAGACGCTAATACCCCCCCCCCCCCCGGAACAGTTTTTGCAGTACTTTCTTTCACGCAGTCTCAGTTGAAATGCGGTTCTATAGCAAGCCGCCCCAGGCGTCTGCCCCAGCCACCACCAATGTTGTGACGCCGAAAGTATCGCGGCCGGAGACAGCATGATACTTGTTGACGTCACCATGGCGGAAATCGAGGGACCGCTTTTTTTTGGACTCAGTAAGCACACTAGTCGGAACGCGTTCCAGGCACAATACTTAAACTAAGCCGCGTCTCAGCGTGTTGATAAGCAGCGTCTGCCACTTTCCCTATAGGCCTGTTTCTCTTGGTGAGGGGACGCTCTAGCGTCCGCAAGACTAAAGCGCCGGATATCCTGACTTATTCAAGTATACCGTCATCTTTTGATCCAGGTTCGATCGTGCCGCGGGAGCTTCTGTTGGATCTTGGCTACGCGTCGCCATTTTTGGCTCATGGCATATCCCACATCCAGACGCTCACGCTCCTATTGGCCTGCTGTGGCTGCAGTGACGGGCCGCCGTTTGCGAGCACGCTCCTATTGGCCTACGGTAAGAGCCGGCGCCGCGCCGCCGCGACAAAACTAGAATGGCGGCGACGATCCGCCATTTTTAGCTCAAGTGCACCCCGGCATGCACCAGCTTGGCGGTACTTTGTAACATTATAAAGTCCATTCAGCGCTTTACGCAAGACGTGACCACGAAACACTGTTCTCTATTAAGTAGGCTAGATCGCAGTTCGAGGCTTGTCACGCTGTGGTCGAGCTGCACCACTGGCAGCCATCACTTGACACCAGCCAATGCATCCATGGGAGAAACGGGGAAAACTGCAATTTTTATAGGTTGTTCTGGACGAGGAAACTTTTATCCTGTTTTTCGAGAATGATAGTTAATATTCTGAGAGAATATATTAAAAGCGTTAGAATATATTGCCAATATTTTAAATAGTTTGTGGTTGGAGGCCGATTGCGACTTTGTTTGGCGTACACTGTGACGCGGTTCAATGAAACAAGGGTTGTCGAGAATCAATTTGGAGTCGTTTGTGATCTCGAAGTCATCAGAGCTTAGCAGACAAAAAGTTAATAGGACTTTACTGGGGGCATGCGTACGGTTTTAAACGGTTGTACAGAGTACGTCTGGTACAAGCCGTTGCTTTAAACTGCAGAGAGGGCTTCTGTGACGAACTAAAACTCGGAGCGTGTCGTTCATTTGTTGAACTTGCCTTTTAATCAGAACTAAAGCAAGCGACGTCAGCACAGTCGGTGGTGCTCCGGCACATTTTATTTTTATTAATCTGCGTTCGAACGCCGGAGAAATGCCGACTGGATATCCAAACAGCCGGTATAATGATCGCAATACGCCATAAAATACTCTCTGAACAACGCGTTCAGCTACAATATTCCAACTTTTGTTCGTTTATCCCATAGATTTGCGTGCATTGCCTGCTGTCAAGCACTGGCCGCCGGTGGTGCTACCGAAGGGCTCCCGATCCATAATCCATCCTACTACGAGAGAGATCGGTGCCGCCAAAGAGGCGCTGCAGCACTCTGTAACTTCCGCCAGTGGCGTCACAAGGTGTGACGCCACTGGCGGAACATAATGTGGCCGCCGCGTCGGACAGAGAGTCATCGTGCACCTAAATGTGTTTCTTCCACCGTGGGTACAACAAGAAGCGGTGAGCGAGGAAATGTGGGACCACCGCTGGGAGAAACAACCGGAACGGTCGGTTTGGAAGGGATCCCATACTTGGGCGCCATCTATCCCCGTGTGAGTGAAGCGCACTCGGTGCGCTTCACTCACACGCCGGCTCGCGCTATGTATGGAAATGAACCACCAGCCGATCCTCTTTTTGTTATTAAATGCGTTAGAATGTATTTCCCTGCAGCTGCATGCGGCCGTCTTTCGTTTGGTCGGTCAGGGTTTGAACTGGACTGGGTTCGAGACACCGCGGCGCGGTTCCCACCGTGCTCTTTCGTTCCGTTCGTTCGCTCGTTAGGTTTACGTTTCCTTTTACGGAAAAGGAAAACGGTCTTCTCGCACGCTTCCAATTTCCGATGACGCGGCGCGGACACTCGGGAGGAAAGATGGGCTCTTCGAGGACATCAGTACGCGGCTGTTTGCTGCGATCGAGGGGAGCAGTGTTGGCTACATCCGTAGCAGCCGATGCCCGAGAAAACAGATTGGCCCTCCGAACACAACCGTAGGCGGATCGTTGCGACGTTGGAGTACCCAACCTTCACTGAGTAGGAACCCCTGCTCTAGGTGTTAGCGAATTTCGTCGAGAATCTGCGCGTCGACAGCAACAATTTGGGTATCATTTTAAAAGTATTATACATTCCCGACTACTCGAGCAAGCTGGAAGACACTGCATCTGAGCAGATTTCGAAACATAAGTAATCACGTGAAATCACCCCTGCTCGCGCTGACTGCTTCAGAAACGCAGGGCGTTGCTCATAACCACACTGCCTTGAACGCGTCTCCAACTGATGAGCTTAGCGTCCCATTCTGCCCAAGTATCCAAAGTGGTCCCCAATTGGCAATGAATGACGTCAGAAGAGCCTGACTGTTATGCTCCCGGATGTCGCAATCCTAGTGGCTGGTCGTAGAAGTTCCCCAAAAAACAAAGACAAACGCGAGCGTCGCTGTCGTAGCAGCGTCCCAACTCCTGGTTGCCGAAGCTTCCGTAGTCTGCCAAGCTGGAAAGCGACCTGCAGTGAACAGGCGTCTTGCAGATCTACCACGGCTGCGCTCACACCGCCAGGAGTGCTGTGGGCGACAGCATGACACGTCTGTGAAGTCGTCAGGTAGAAATCAAGGGACCAGTTTCTTAGACGCGGTAAACACACCAGTCAGAAACACGTTCTATGTACCACACTTAAAATGTTCCCACGCCATGATTTGTCAATCGGCGTTATCAGCGTTGCCAATTTAGCGGTTTTGCCTCTAAATTTCGCGGTTTCTTGAGTTGTCTAGAGAGAAAAAATGCTGTTCTTGCAGTTGGCGAAATTTTGAGTGCTGTCAAGTCACGTTAGCGTGTTTCATGGCGGTCTGAAATGTTCCCCAAGTTACATTTATAAATCGTAAATAGCTTCATTTCTGTGGCAAGTTAAAATCATGGGGACGGAAATTGCGGTGAGGGCAACGCTTACGACGCCACGGAGACATTACGGGGGCACACGTTGAAACATAGAGTTGAAACGGTCATTCTTGGCCCAATCCGTGATCGGTTGTAAGGGTTGAGCATCCCTCCATCCCTCCGCCACGGAGCTGACCTCACAGCGCCACATCGCGAAAGCGCGCAGCGTTTTCTTCGCGTGATGCGCGCCCCGTGGAGAAATCCCCCGCGATGTCTTTCCCGTGTGAACATCGCATGAATAACCCATGCCAGCAAACAAATTGTTCTGTGTATGTTTATACAGCCGGAAGTTAGTCTGCCTCAGTGGGCGTCTGGTGTCTCAGCTGTACATGAGCAATTTAGCCAGTGCGGTACAACCGCTAGCCTGGGATCTTTAACGTGCACCACACAGTAGTCATACACAACCGCATGCCATCTGGATGCTCATCCACGGCCGGACCGGAAGCGCGCGCACTCTTTCTCTTCTTACGGCCTTTGCAATTGGGGCAATCGCCACCTCCCGCCGCAATTCGCGGGGGGCGCTGTCACCTCACCCCTGGGCTACCCTTTGTCGTTTGCACAGAAAGCGTCTGACAGTGTATCTCAGCGCTGTCGCAACTTGCGGCCGAGATTTTTATAGCCTTTGACATCTGATGCTTACGTTTAGACCTTCAGCCACTATCTAATGCGCTTCTGGCGAGCCCAAAACGGTGAATATTTGACGCACATCTCCGAGAGATTCGGGTGTAAAAAGTAGTAAGTAGAGACAGCGAATGCAATTGCGGAAAAACTATACTCGTCTTTACCTCCAGGACTTCTGTTGCAGCTCAAGAACAGGCGGAGACGGACCCTTCTACGTGGAGAAACTTTAAATGATAAATAATTCGTACACTCTCGTGAAATGTAACCAGGCCAATTTATGTATTGCCGTCGTCTGCATCATCATTTCATAGGCCACACATGAAGTCGGTCAGCTGCTCTAGACGAGGGTGTAGTAGTTTGTACAATTTTCGCACAGTGCATATGACAGCCTGAAGTGCTCCCTCGAGGGCTTGTGCACATATCCAGCAGATTTTTCGTTTCTGTCCGTGACTTGCTTTGCGTGGTTAATCAAAAGTATTCTGAAGAACCGTTGCCAAAACAACAACCTACGAAGCTCCAACACCAGCGCAAAGCAGCTCGAAGGGACTCTCCGAATGGGGTGAAGTGGGGCGAGGTGGTTGCGCCCGTGGTGGCAAGCAAGTGAACTACATACGGAGAAAAAATGCCATTGACTCCCGGGCGATTGCAAAGGCCGTAAGAAGAGAAAGAGAGCGCGCGCTTCCAGTCCGGCCGTGGCTCATCCAGATCGAAACGGATAGGGGTGGGTAGACCCTTTCCGGAATTCAGTCTTTAGCTACACGTGCTCCGAGCTGGTGTGCGCTAGCCCACTCGGCCACCGATCCCCCACACATGCCAGGATTTATACGTTTTTTCTAACATGTTTGAAGCCCCGGCAGACCGTTCAACCCTCGCTGTATCTATGTGAGATGACCTCAGAGCCACTTCGCAGGTATGAAATGTGTGGCGCTAGGCACCATCCTTACTCAAGCAACTTTTCATTGCGGATATTTCTATGCAACGCTTGAGAGTGACCAGCTTTGTCACGATGACTTACGAAAATATGGTTCCAACTTCCAACGTCAACAAGGTCCGCTCGACGCGTCTCAGTGGAAAGGCGCGATGCGTTCAGTTGCAGCAGGCGGACGCGGAGCATTGCGCAGAGCGTTTGCGCCATGCTTGCACACTCTCTTGCGTTGACACGAAGTCAATCGCACGTCAAAAGCCAATAGGAACGCTCTATTGTCGCTTCCGGCTCACCAATAGTGAGCAAACTCCACGGCACCGTGGCGCGCGTCGATGTGAGTCAAAGTGGCAGATCTTGCGACAATTCCGCTGGCTTCCGCGGTTTCTGTCCAGCTTGAACCATCGCTACCTTGAAAAAATTCTGCTGGTCCCGTGAACCCCCCCCCCCCCCCTTTCTTTCCAAACAAGCAAAAGCAAGAATAAGGAACCGGACGCGCGTCGCTGACGGGCGCCGGTAATCACGTGAACCTCCCATTCTTTCCTCGGTTTCTGATTGATCTAATGGAAGGCGTCGCGGTGGAAACATGGCCAACTTTCTGGGACATTCTGCGGAATAAAAGCTTTTCGAGAAAGCATCACCATTCTAGTCGATTTGCGTTCCATATGATACCCAGGTAGTTACAGCCCTCCGGATTATTGCTATCTTCTTTTCAAGAAAAGCAGAAATTTACAATCCTGGGAATCTAACCCAAACAATAAAAAAAAAAAAAAAATTTGTAGAGTTGTGGAATAAAACCTCTACGCGTCCAAAAGTTTAATTCCTGTTTATTGATATCTTATGACTATCGTCTAAAATATTCCTGGGGAACATTGCTATGTTTGTCGTTGTTCAGTAGATATTCTCATTTTTGTGCAGTCGCCGAGGGTTGGCTGTCCAAGAAAGTTGGGGATGGGTTGAGTTAAGTCGCACTCGGTGGCGCATGCAACCCCTTCCTGCCGCAGTTCCGCGCTAAAACGCGTTCAGGCGCATGTGTGCGTGAGCGATACCACTCAAGCGCAGATGTCTGGACTAGGCTTTGTGGCTGCTTGCGATGAGTCGGCTGCTATGGCAACCAATGTTCGCGCAACCCGTTTCTCTGGAACGCAAGAAATAGAACAGAAATGGGACGCTCTGTCTGGAAACAAAGTGCCAGCCACAACGGACATCAGACACTGCAAAAACGAACTCGTCAGCTGAATAATTCACTAAAATTCGCCAATTATATTTTTGAATTATTAGAACTTGATCATGCGTTAAAATTCGAGGCTTTCTGAGCGTCATCGGAAACAAGTGAACCGAATTATTTAAGGGTGACATAGGACAAATACAGCATTATAAGGCGTTAAAAAAACGAGAAAAAAAAAACCGCTTATTTTGATCTTTTTTTTTTCTTTTTTTTTTTCCGATGGTTTATCGAAGCGCTTATTTGCGTCAGCGGTCTTGCCTCCACTTGGCGGAGCAGCGAATCGGCCGCCTCGGCCCTCTCGTAGGATAGGAGGAATCAGGCTCTGGAAGAAGTATGGCTTACGTTCGTTGCGCGCCTCGGCCACCGGGGGGCAGGACGGCTGACGCAAAGACGCGCTCCGATAGGAAACCGAAACCCAGAAACACGTCCTAACTAAGCTTTTTTTTTTTCTATCGGAACGCGGCAGAACTCTGCATTCTTATGCAAGTATCTTTCTAAAATGACTTGATTGAGTGGTTTTCGGTGATGCTCATCGGGTTTCTAATTCGAACCATATGTTTATCTTCACTAATTAATACGTTTCTTAGTAAACCTTAGTTATTTTCATTGCTCATTAGTATGTGCGTCTGTTTTCGCAATCTCTGACATCCGCCGTGACTGGCAATTCGTTCCCCAAACTAAATTTTTTTTTTGTGTGTGTGTTTTTTTTTTTTTTACTTACCCTATTTTTAATAATTTTTTTAAAGTCTTCGCGGAAACAGCCAGTATTACGAATCATGCGAGCTTCGAACTTGAGATCGAACCAGCAACGGGCGCTGGTTGACCTCAATGTTTACTAAACAGCGATTTCTTTCTCTCTCTCTCTGTTATAGATCATGCGTGACGGGTGTCCAGAGATAATTTTCTCATCGTGTCTGCGGACCGTGTCTTTGGAATGATGTATAAGCAGTGTGAAGGCGTCTTTGACCGCAGGTTGTGGACCACAGGGCCATAATGCACTCACTCCTGCAGGTGGGCTTCGGCTCACTCCAGAACCCGTTGTACTGGCAGGTGGCACTAGCGGCGCCCTCCAGCTCGAAGTCTTCGTCACAGAAGAACTCCACCACGTCGCCGGGAGCGCAACAGCCGTCGTGTTCGATGTAGCCGTGCTTCAGCGTCCCCAGGTTTGGGCAGTCCAGCTCCTCTGAAAACAATTCGTGCATCTTCTTGACCCCAGTCCGCGGACACAATAAAGGCATACGATGTGCAGAGTGTTTGGGGATTGTCATGTGACACCGTGACGGCATGTGACGAAAAGGTGCATGTGGCGTGCAACGTGACGTCATATTGCCACGACAATACCGCTTGCTAAATTTAGCATAACGCGCCGCCAAGTTCAGAGGCAGAAAAGCCTGCTAATTATGGCGGGCGTACGACTGCCTTTCGTGACGGTTTACTGCGGTTTTCGTCCCACGTGCTCCGAGAACTAGGAGCATTTCGACATAGCAGTCCTGTATAGACCCTTTTACAGAAGGGGGGGGGGGGGAGGGGGGGGGGGGGGGGCAGGTGGCCGAGTGTTAGCGCACCATACACTCTCAAGAAAAAGGGTGTCAAAAGGTGTACTCTTTACATCCTTTGTCCCATATAATACACCTCAGAATTTCAATTCGACGTACAGTGCCCTACAGTCGAACATTGGACCCGAAACTTTACGAGGGGCTTGATAGCCGTGTGGTACAACATTTTAAATAGCTAAAGTACGTATCAAAGACCACATAAAGAAAAAACCGAGTTTTTACAGTAGGGCAAAGGAAAGGGAGAGAGAGAGAGAGAGAGAATAAACTTTATTGAAATCGGCCCAGCAGTTTTGCTTTCGGGCGAGATGGGGGAGAATGGGATTACCCCCTGTCCCGTCCCACCCTCAGTCGACGATGATGGAGGTAACCCGAATTATTTTTTTCGTGTTCAGTAAAACGTACATTAGCTATTTTAATAAGTTGCACCACACGGCTATCAACCCCCCTTAGAATTTCGGGCCCTCTGTTCGACTGTAGGGCGCTGTATGTCTAACTGAAGTTTGGGGGTGTATTATATGGGACAAAGGGTGTAAGAATACACCTTTTGACACCCTTTTTTCTTGAGAGTGTAGCTCAGAGGGCGTGGAGCGTAAGCTCGCGCTTCAAAACTCATGGGTTTCGACCTGGATGAGCATGGGGCTGGCGTGAGGTCAAGTATCACTACTGCGTGATGCACGTTAAGGACATTAGGCTGTCTTACTGCACTGGCCGCCTTTCTTATCTGGGGAAGGAACACTGGACGCACACTGGGGCTGAAAATAACTTCCCGCTGACTGAACCTACACACAACACAATTACAACGAGAGTGCGTCAGAGCGTGGACAGTCTACAGTTAAAACTTCGGTTTCGGTCGAGTACGTGAAAGGGTGAACCGAAATCGGCTTTATTATTATGCTATCCATTGAGCAATAAAGATGACGATGGCGCTTTATTTTATCTTAGTCTGATAATATTGCCGCGCGCAGGGTCACGGACTTCTAGAACTTTCTTGTTTATTCTTGCTCCGTACATAACTTCTGTCGTTTATCCCTGCTTATGTTGTTCTAGAAAGTGTGTGTTCATTCTCGCCCCGAGCGCGCTACGCTCGAACCTTCTCCGCCGAATCTTCGAGATAGTGACTCACTCTAGATAAGACGCCGCTCGCTACATTGTCGAGTCAGTCTCGCCTCAGCGTTTGATCGTGCTGCTTCGCCGCCTTCGACGCCCGCGACGCTCTGTTGTTATCTTTCTTTTGTACCCTTTTATTTTTGGCACAAGTTCGCCACATTAAACGTTTATTTATTCCTGTTTATTTCTTGTTTATTAGTCACCACCCGTGACATTTTTGGTGGAGGTGCGGGGTAACACCTTATGCCTCTTCGCCGTACCCCTCCGAGGACCCGTTCGGCAAGCCCCACTCCAAGACGACCTTTTGAAGAAGAGACAGGGCCCCGGGCAAGCCAGCGTCTCCGAGGACAACCACCAGAGTTTGGTCCACTGCCGGACAACGCCAAGAAGCCACCCAAGCCGACAATGGACTCCACGGCGCAGCCGACGGAAATCCCCCAAGCAGCACCGTCCTACGTCTTCCTGCCTGTGGTTCCCCGTGTGCCGACGCCGTTCCACGGTGAAATTTATGAGGATGTAGAAGACTGGCTGCAGCACTACGAACGTGTAGCACGCCATAATGGATGGACCACTGAGCAGCGCCTCCAAAACCTCTACTTCTCTTTGGAGGGTACCGCGAGGCAGTGGCTCGAGAACCACGAGGCGTCGCTTACGTCGTGGGACACCTGCATCGCCGGCCTGAAAGACACATTTACGAACCAGACACGACGACAGCGAGCGGAAGACCTTCTGCAAGTACGAACCCAAGGGCCCAACGAAACGGTCACCAGCTTCGTTGAAGACGTCCTCCGCCTGAGCAACCGCGCCGACCCTCAGTCCACCGAGGAGAAGAAGCTGCGCGTGCTGATGAGAGGAGTGAGGAGTGACATCTTCGGCGGCCTTGTTCGCAACCCACCAACAACTGTCGGGGAATTCGTTACCGAGGCAACCAACATCGAGCGTGCCCTGTCAATCCGAGCCAGCCACTACAACCGACTCGCCGGCACGCCTGTTGCGTCGACGCTGACACCTTCCCGATTCGACGAAGGCGGCGCCCGTGCTGACAATATTCGTGCAATTGTCCGCGACATCGTCCGGGAGGAGCTCCGGAAACTGCTGCCTGCTGCCAACCAGCCGGCTGAGCTGTCGATAGCCGAAGTGGTGCGCGAAGAAGTCCAGCGGGCAATTCAACCGGAGGCTCCTGCCAGCGTAGCACCACCCGAAGAGCCCGCCCTGACCTACGCCGCAGTGGCCCGACGGCCACCGCCTCCTCCTCCAGCCTATGTTGCGCCGCCCCGACGTCGTTCTCCTGCGCTGCAGCACGACCGCCGCCGCGACGACCAGGCTCAGTACGCCGGCCAAGAGCCCCGCGCACCTCGGAAGACCGACGTGTGGCGAACACCCGACCGACGTCCTTTGTGTTTCCACTGCGGGGAAGCGAACCACACCTACCGCCAATGCCCATACCGGCGACTCGGACTGCGGGGGTTCCACCCAAATGACCCACGCCCCCGTTACGGTGAACGCCCTCGGGAGATCGACGAGTACCTTCGACGACCTCAGTCCCCCGAGCCTGCCTCCCGCCGAGAGTTCCGGTCGCCATCGCCACGACGTCCGGCTTCGCCGATGCACCGACCCCGACGTGAAAGCCTATCACCCCTCGCTCCTCGCCGGGGAAACTAGGCGCGGCAACCCCTGGAGGTGGAGTTGCCGAAGACGACCGATGTAAAGAGCCTCCAAGAACGACGGAGCGCTCCCACTCTCCCGACGCCACGCATCACAACGACGCTCCTGCATCGGTGTCCAACAACCTGAACGTTGTGATCGACGGCCTCGACGAATCGGCACTCGTGGACACCGGAGCAGACTACTCAGTCTTGAGTGGGAGGCTCTCCCGCCGCCTTCGAAAAGTCATGACGCCGTGGGATGGACCACAAATAAGAACCGCCGGAGGACACCTGATTACACCAGTCGGGAGATGCACCGCTCGCGTCGAGATTCACGGCGAAACATGCCCTGTGAAGTTCGTCGTTCTGCAAGACTGCTCGAGGGACGTCATTCTCGGAATGGACTTCCTGTGTGAATACGGCGCCATCATCGACCTTGCGGAGAACAAGCTGACGCTTCGGAAGCCTGTGCCATCGGTGGAAAATCCCAAACCTACGTTAGCTGCAGCGCGAGTCCTCGTCAGCCACGTAAACCTGCCGCCGCTGTCGAGTGTCTTTGTGCCCGTCGGGACCGAAGGAGCCACCTGCGGTGTAGCACTGCTGGAAGGAAGCGTCCAACTTCTCCTCGGACGAGGGATTGGCATTGCAAGAGGCGTAACAGAGCTCCAGGACGGGCGTACCGTAGCCCTTGTCACCAACTTCCGGCAAGAGTCGCAGCACCTTACGAAGGGTACAGCCGTGGGCTACGTCGAGGAAATTCAAGACTCAGCCGCGATCGCCGTGATCTCAGGAGACGCCTCTCCGACGCAGAACAAGACAATCACGTCCTCAGAGCTCGACATCGACCCGTCCCTCCCAGCCCCACAACGACGACAACTTCGTGACCTTCTCGCCGAGTTCAGTGAGTGCTTCTCCGCGTCGTCGAAGGTGCGCCAAACGACGGTTGCGAAACATCGGATAATTACTGATGACGACGCACTCCCTGTGCATCGGCCGCCGTACAGGGTCTCCGTGAAAGAAAGGGAAGCCATCCAGCAGCAGGTACAAGAAATGCTCAACGACGACATTGTCCAGCCCTCAAGCAGTCCGTGGGCTTCACCGGTAGTCCTGGTGAAAAAGAAAGACGGGACTCTTCGGTTCTGCGTGGACTATCGCCGACTGAACGCCGTAACAAAAAAGGACGTCTACCCGCTGCCACGGATCGACGGCACCCTGGACCGGCTGCGCCACGCCCGATACTTTTCGTCGATGGACTTAAAGAGCGGGTACTGGCAGATTGAGGTCGACGAACGAGATCGTGAGAAGACAGCCTTCGTCACGCCGGATGGACTGTATGAGTTTAAAGTAATGCCGTTCGGGCTGTGCACAGCGCCGGCAACCTTCCAGCGCGTTATGGACACCGTCCTTGCCGGCTTGAAATGGCAAAGCTGTCTCGTCTACCTCGACGATGTTGTGGTGTTCGCAAGCGAATTTGACGAGCATCTGAGACGACTGCGAGCCGTGCTACAGGCCTTCAAGGCTGCTGGGCTGACCCTCAAGCCTTCCAAGTGTCGGTTCGCCTATGGTGAGCTGAAATTCTTGGGCCACGTCGTGAGTGCGCAGGGTGTAAGCCCTGATCCCGCAAAAACGTCCGCTGTCGCCGAGTTCCCGAAGCCATCAGACAAGAAGACCGTTCGAAGATTTCTTGGGCTGTGCGCCTATTACAGACGTTTCGTTCGTGACTTTGCACAAATTTCTGCACCGCTGACGCATCTGACGAAAGACGACGTGCAGTTCCAGTGGGGAGAGGAGCAAGAGCAAGCGTTCGGCGAACTCAAGCGAAGGCTCCAGTCGCCCCCTATCCTCGGACATTTTGACCAGTCGGCGGAGACTGA